GGGGGGGTGAGGGGATTTTGGGGGTCTCAGGGAATTTTGGGGGGTTTTTGGGGGATTTTGGGGGTAACCTGTCCATCGGGAGGGGTGGTGGGTAGTTTGGGGGGTCTCAGGGGGAATTTTGGGGTGTCCCAGGGGGGTCTCGGGGAGGTTTTGGGGGTCTTTGGGGGGTACCTGTCCGTTGGAGGGGGGCGGTGGATTTTGGGGGATTTTTGGGGTCCCGGGGGATTTTTGGGGGTACCTGTCCGTCGGGGGGGTCGGTGGATTTTGGGGTGTCTCAGGGGATTTTTGGGGGGTTTTTGGGGGATTTTGGGGGTACCTGTCCGTCGGGTGGGGGGGCGGTGGATTTTGGGGGGTTTGGGGGGGTCTCAGGGGATTTTTGGGGGTACCTGTCCGTCGGGGGGGCCGGTACCCCTCCCCCCGCGCCCTGAGCACGAAGCGCGCCCCGTTCCAGACCTTGTTGCAGAAGTGGCGGTACCCCAAAACCCGCCCCACGTCCAGGTTGATGTCCCGCCCTGGCGGCACACGGGGGGATTTGGGGTGATTTTGGGGTTTTTTGGGGTTTTTTTTTGGAATTTTTGATGTTTTTTTGGGATTTTTTGGGGCTTTTTTAAAGCTTTTTTTGGTTTTTTTTGGTGTTTTTTGGGGCAGTTATGGGGCAGTTCTGGGGTGGTTTTGGGTTCCTTGGTGTGTTCTGGATGGTTTTAGGGTGGTTTTGGGTTTTTTTGGGGTGGTTTGGGGTTTTTTTGGGTTTTTGTTGGTTTTTTTGGGGTTTTTTTGGGTTTTTTTGGGGGGTTTTTGGGTTTTTTTGGGGTTTATTTGGTGGTTTTTGGGGCGGTTTTGGGGAGATTCTGGAGCGGTTTTTGGGCTGTTCTGGGATGGATTTGGGGTGGTTTTGGGGTTTTTGGGGGCGATTTTGGGTTTTTTGGAGTTTTTTGGGGTTTTTTTGGGTTTTTTTGGGGGGATTTTGGGGTTTTTGGGGTATTTTTGGGGTGTTCTGGAGCCCCGTTCCAGACCTTGTTGCAGAAGTGGCGGTACCCCAAAACCCGCCCCACGTCCAGGTTGATGTCCCGCCCTGGCGGCACACGGGGGGATTTGGGGTGATTTTGGGGTTTTTGGGTTTTTTTGGGGTTTTTGGGGTTTTTTTGGGGATTTTTGGATATTTTTGGCGATTTTTTGGGGATTTTTTGGGGTTTTTTTGGGGCAGTTCTGGGGGTGGTTTTTGGGTTCCTTGGTGTGTCTTGGGATAGATTTGGGGTAGTTTTGGATGGTTTTGGGGTGATTTTGAGTTTTTTTGGGGTGATTTTGGGTTTTTTGGGGTATTTTGGTGTGGTTTTGGGGTATTTTGGTGTTTTGGGGGTGTTTTAGGGGGTATTTTGGGGTGTTTGGGGGATATTTTGGCATTTTTTGGGGTATATGGGGGGTATTTGGTGTTTTGGGGTATTTTGGCATGTTTGGGGTATTTTGGGGGGTATTTTGGGATGGTTTTGGGGTATTTTGGTGTATTTGGATGTATTTTGGGGAGTTTGGGGTATTTTGTGAAAGTTTTGGAGTATTTTCCTGTATTTGGGGGTATTTTGGTGTATTTTAGGGGGTATTTTGGGGTGTTTTGAGGGCATTTTGGTTATTTTGGGGTGTTTTGGGATGGTTTTGGGGTGTTTTTGGGTATTTTAGGGGGTAATTTGGGGTGTTGGGGTATTTTTGGGATGGTTTTGGGTTATTTTGGGGTATTTTGGGGTGTTAGGGGGTATTTTGGGGGAATTTTCGGATATTTTTGGGATCATTTTGGGTTATTTTGGGGGGTTTTGGGGCAGTTTTGGGGTGGTTTTGGGGGTATTTTGGGGTTTTAGGATATTTTGAGGTGTTGGGGATATTTTTGGGGGTATTTTGGGTTATTTTGGGGTGTTTTGGGGTGTTTGGGGGTGTTTTAGGGGGTATTTTCGGGTATTTTGGGTTATTTTGGGTTATTTTGGGGTATTTTTGGGGGTATTTTCCGGTTATTTTGGGGTATTTGGTGGTATTTTTGGGGATATTTTCAGGTATTTGGGGGTATTTTGGGGGTTTTAGGGTATTTTGGGGTGATGGGGGGTATTTTAGGGGGTATTTTGGTGTATTTTTGGGGTATTTTGGGGTGTTGGGGTATTTTGGGATGGTTTTGGGGTATTTTGGGGTGTTTAGGGGTAATTTTGGGGGTATTTTGGGTTATTTTGGGTATTTTGGCGTGTTTTGGTGGTATATTGGTGTATTTTGGGATGTTTTGGGGGTATTTTGGGTGTTTTGGGATTTTGGGGGTATTTTAGTGGTATTTTGGGGTGTTAGGGGGTATTTTTGGGGGTATTTTCGGTATTTCGGGTTATTTTGGGGTATTTGGGGTTATTTTTGGGGATATTTTCCGGTATTTTGGGGTATTTTGGGGTGTTAGGGGGTATTTTTTGGGGGTATTTTCAGGTATTTTGGGTTATTTTGGGGTGTTTTTGGGGTGTTTTTGGGTATTTTGGGTTATTTTGGGGTGTTTTTGGGGTTTTTGGGTTATTTTGGGGTGTTTTGGGGTTTTTTGGGTTATTTTGGGTTATTTTGGGGTGTTTTTTGGGGTACCCTGGGCCGTGTAGAGCGCAGAGGGCGAAGCGCAGACGCGTCCGTCCCACACTCAGGGGATCCCATCAGGGGGAAGTCGCGTTCTGGGGGGCAGAGGGGATAAGACCCCCAAAAAACCCAAATCCCCCCAAAAAATACCCCAAATCCCAAAAAAAAAAACCCCCCAAATCCCCCCAAAACAAAACCCCAAATCCCCCCCCAAAAAAACCCCAAATCACCCCAAAAAAAACCCCAAATCCACAAAAAAACCCCAAATCCCCCCAAAAACCCAAATCCTAAATCCACCCCAAATCCCCCAAAGCCTCCCCAAAAACCCCAAATCCCCCCCAAAAAAACCCAAATCCCCCCCAAAAAAAAACCCCAAATCCCCCAAAAAACCCAAATCCCACAAAAAAACCACCCAAATCCCCAAAAACCCAAATCCCAAATCCACCCCAAAAAAAACCCAAATTTCCCCAAAAAAAAAAACCAAATCCCCCCCCAAAAACCCCAAATCCCCCCGAAAAAAAACCCAAATCCCCCCCAAAAACCCCCAAATCCCCCCCCCAAAAAACCCCCAAATCCCCCCCCCCAAAAAACCCAAATCCCACCCAAAAAAACCCAAATCCCACCAAAGAAAACCCAAATCCCCCCCAAAAAAAAACCCCAAATCCCAAATCCCCCCAAATCCCCCCAACAACCCCAAATCCCTTCAAATCCACCCAAAATCCCCCCAAAAAAAAACCCCAAATCCCAAATCCACCTTAAATCCCCCAAATCCCCCCCAAATCCCCAAACCCCCCAAAAATCCCCAAATTTCCCCCCAAAACCCCCAAATTTCCCCCCAAAACCCCATCCAAAAATCCCCTCAAAACCCCCCCAAATTCCCCCTCAAACTGCCCCAAATTGCCCCCGAAACCCCCAATTTTCCCCCCAAAATCCCCTCAAAACCACCCAAATCCCCCAAAATCCACCCAAATCCCCCAAAATCCCCCTAAAATTGCCCCAAATTTCCCTCGAAATCCCCAAATTTTGCCCAAATTCCCCAATTTCCCCCAAAATCCCCCAAATCCACCCAAACCCCCCAAAATCCACCCAAAATCACCGAATTTCCCCCCAAAAACCCCCAAAATCCACACAAACCCCCCCAAAATTCCCCAAAACCCCCAAAATCCCCCAAAATCACCGAATTTCCCCCCAAAATCACCAGATTTCCCCCAAAAAACCCCAAAATCCACACAATTTCACTCAAATTTCCCCCCAAAATCCCCAAATCCCCCAAATCCCCAAAATCCCCCTAAAATTGCCCCAAATTTCCCCCGAAATCCCCAAAATCCACCCAAATCCCCCAAAAATCCCCCCAAAATCACCGAATTTTCCCCAAAAAACCCCCAAAATCCCCCCAGATCCCCCAAATTTCCACCCAAATTTCCACCCCAAATCCCCCCAAATCCCCCCGAATCCCCACCTGTCCCTCCCGGGCGCGCTCCAGCTCGGCCGGTTCCAGGTTACTGTTCTCCAACTGCAGGTGCAGCTCCTGGGGACACACCTGGGGTCACCTGGGGTCACCCGGGGTCACCTGGGGTCACCCGGGGCCACCTGGGGCACACCTGGGGTCATCTGGGGTCACCTGAGGTCACCTGAGCACACCTGGGGTCACCTGGGACACACCTGGGGTCACCTGGGCACACCTGGGGGGTTTTTGGGGGGTCCTGAGGGGGGTTTGGGGAGTCCTGAGGGTTTTTGGGCTCACCTGGACACACCTGGGATCACCTGGGGTCACCTGGACACACCTGGGGTCACCTGGGGGGTTTTGGGGGGGTCCTGGGGGGGTTTTGGGGGGTCCTGAGGGGTTTTTGGGCTCACCTGGGCACACCTGGGGTCACCTGGGGTCACCTGGGGTCATCTGGGACACACCTGATCACACCTGGGGTCATCTGGGGGATTTTGGGGGTCCTGAGGGGTTTTGGGGGGTCCTGAGGGGTTTTTGGGCTCACCTGGGCTCACCTGGGTAATTTTGGGGCTCACCTGTGGATTTTGGGGCTCACCTGTGGACATTTTTGGGTCTCACCTGATGATTTTGGGTCTCACCTGTACATTTTTGGGGTCTCACCTGGAGTTTTGGGGTCTCACCTGGACATTTTTGGGGCTCACCTGTGTAATTTTGGGGTCTCACCTGGGTAATTTGGGGTCTCACCTGTGTAATTTTGGGTCTCACCTGGATGATTTGGGTCTCACCTGGATGATTTGGGGTCTCACCTGTGTATTTGGGGTCTCAGCTGGATGATTTTGGGGTCTCACCTGGGCACACCTGGGGTCACCTGGGGGGGTTTTGGGGGGTCCTGGGGGGGTTTTGGGGGGTCCTGAGGGGATTTTGGGGCTCACCTGGGTAATTTTGGGTCTCACCTGAGGATTTTTGGGGCTCACCTGGGGGGGGGTTTGGGTGGTTTTGGGCTCACCTGGGCACACCTGTGCATTTGGGGTCTCACCTGGACATTTTGGGGTCTCACCTGGGTAATTTTGGGTCTCACCTGGATGATTTTGGGGTCTCACCTGTGCATTTTGGGTCTCACCTGGAGAATTTGGGTCTCACCTGTGCATTTTGGGGTCTTACCTGGGGGGGGGTTTGGGTGGTTTTGGGCTCACCTGGGCACACCTGGGTAATTTTGGGTCCCACCTGGATGATTTGGGGCTCACCTGTGTAATTTTGGGCTCACCTGTGCATTTGGGTCACACACCTGGGTAATTTTGGGGTGTCACCTGGATGATTTGGGGTCTCACCTGTGCATTTTGGGCCTCACCTGTGGGTTTTGGGGTCTCACCTGAGCACACCTGGGGTCACCTGGGGCACACCTGGGGGTTTTTGGGGGGTCCTGGGGGGTTTTGGGGGGTCCTCAGGGTTTTTGGGCTCACCTGGACACACCTGGGTCACCTGAGGTCACCTGGGGTCATACCTGGGATCACCTGGGGCCACCTGGGGTCACCCGGGGTCACCTGGGGTCACCTGGGCACACCTGGAGTCACCTGGGCACACCTGGGACACACCTGGGACACACCTGGGACACACCTGGGGTCACCTGAGGTCACCTGGGGTCACCTGGGCACACCTGGGGTCACCTGGGGGGTTTTTGGGGGGTCCTGGGGGGGTTTTTGGGCTCACCTGGGTAATTTTGGGTCTCACCTGTGGATTTTGGGGTCTCACCTGGGTAATTTTGGGGACTCACCTGGAGTTTTGGGGGCTCACCTGGACATTTTTGGGTCTCACCTGTGCATTTTGGGTCTCACCTGGGTAATTTTGGGTCTCACCTGGAGTTTTGGGGTCTCACCTGCAGGGAGGTGCCGGTGATGACGTCCAGCGGGTCGATGACGTTCCCCAGGGATTTGCTCATCTTGCGGCCGTGGGCGTCGCGCACGATGGCGTGCAGGTACACCTGGGCAGGTGAGACACAGGTGGGACAGGTGAGACACACCTGAGACACACCTGGGACAGGTGAGACACACCTGAGACACACCTGGGACAGGTGAGACACACCTGGGACACACCTACAGGTACACCTGGGCAGGGGGGACAGGTGAGACACACCTGGGACAGGTGAGACACACCTGGGGGACACCTAGGGGACACCTGGGACAGGTGAGACACACCTGGGGGCACCTAGGGGACACCTGGGACAGGTGAGACACACCTGCAGGTACACCTGGGCAGTGAGGACACAGGTGGGACAGGTGAGACACACCTGAGACACACCTAGGACACACCTGGGACAGGTGAGACACACCTGGGGGACACCTGAGACACACCTACAGGTACACCTGGGACAGGTGAGGGACAGGGGACACACCTGGGACAGGTGAGACACACCTGGGACACACCTGCAGGTACACCTGGGCAGGTGAGACAGGTGAGACACACCTGGGACAGGTGAGGGACAGGGGACACACCTGGGACAGGTGAGACAGGTGAGATGGGTGAGAAACACCTGGACAGGTGAGAGACAGGTGAGAGACACACCTGGGACACACCTGAGACACACCTGGGACACACCTGGGACAGGTGAGACACACCTGGGACACACCTGGGACAGGTGAGACACCTGGGACAGGTGAGGGGCAAGAGATTTTGGGTTGTTTTTTGGGTGATTTTGGGGTTATTTTTGGGTTATTTTTTGGGATATTTTGGGTTATTTTTTGGGGATATTTTGGGTTACTTTTTGGGATATTTCAGGTGATTTTTGGGGTTATTTTTGGGGTTTTTTGGGGTGATTTTGGGGATATTTTGGGTTATTTGGGGAGTATTTTTGGGATATTTGGGTTATTTTTGGGTGATTTTGGGGATATTTTGGGTTATTTGGGGAGTATTTTTTGGGATATTTGGGATATTTTGGCTTATTTTTTGGGATATTTTCGGTTATTTTTTGGGGTTATTTTTGGGTTATTTTTTGGGATATTTAGGGCTATTTTTGAGGTGATTTTTGGGGTGATTTTTGGGGTATTTTTCAGATATATTGGGTTATTTTTTGGGGAGATTTTGGGGTGATTTTTGGGATATTTCAGGTGATTTTTGGGGTGTTTTTTGGCTGATTTTGGGCTGATTTTTGGGCTGATTTTGGGGTGTTTTTTGGGTTATTTTCTGGGGAGATTTTGGGTTATTTTTTGGGTTATTTTTGGGGTATTTTTCAAATATTTGGTTATTTTTTGGGGTGATTTTGGGGGTATTTTTCAGATATTTGGGTTATTTTTTGGGGAATTTTGGGGATTTTTTTGGTTATTTTGGGGTGATTTTGGGGTGATTTTTGGGGTGATTTTGGGTTATTTTGGGGTTTTTTGGGTTATTTTTGAGGTTTTTTGGGGTGATTTTGGGGTGATTATGGGGTGATTTTTGGGTTATTTTTGGGGTTATTTTTGGGTTATTTTTTGGGATACTTGGGATTATTTTTTGGGGTGATTTTGGGATGACTTTTGGGGTGATTTTTGGGGTATTTTTCAGATATATTGGGTTATTTTTTGGGGAGATTTTGGGGTGATTTTTGGGATATTGTGGGTTATTTTTGGGTGAATTTTGGCTATTTGGGTTATTTTTGGGATGTTTGGGGGTTTTTTTAGGGTTATTTTGGTGCTAAGTATTGTGGGTTATTTTGGGGTGATTCTGGGTTATTTTGGGGTACTTTTGGTGCTGTATATTTTGGGTTATTTTTGGGGTAATTTTGAGCGTATTTTTGGGATATTTTGGTTATTTTGGGGGTATTTTTGCATATTTTGGGTTATTTTTGGGTTATTTTTGGGGAGATTTTGGGTTATTTTTTGGGGATATTTTGGGTTATTTTTTGGGATATTTCAGGTGATTTTTGGGGTGATTTCGGAGGATTTGGGTATTTTTGGGGGTTTTTTGGGTGATTTTGAGGTGATTTTGGGGTAATTTTGGGGTGATTTCGGGTTATTTTTGGGTGATTTTTGGGGTGATTTTTTGGTTATTTGGGTTATTTTTGGGGTGATTTTGGGGATATTTTGGGTTATTTTTGGTTATTTTTTGGGATATAAGGGCTATTTTTGAGGTGATTTTGGGGTGATTTCGGGAGGATTTTGGGGTGATTTTGGGTGATTTTTGGGGCCTCACCTGTCGGAAGGGCAGCTGCCCGGTCAGCGCCAGCCCCAGCATCACCATCCGCGCCACCCAGAAGAACAGAATGTCGTGGCCGGTCTCCAGCAGCGAGCCGGGGTAGAAACGCTCCAGGTCGGGGTCTGGGGAGAGAACGGCACCCTCAGACCCCCAAAATCACCCCAAAACCCCCCAAAAACACCCCCAAAAAACCCACAAAAAACCGCCCCAAAATCCCCCAAAAAAATACCAAAAAAACCAAAAAAAACCACAAAAAACCCACAAAAAACACCCCCAAACCCCAGAGCCAAACCGCCCCAAAATACCAAAAAAAAAAAACCAAAAAAACCAAAAAAACCCCACAAAAACCCCACAAAAAACACCCCAAAACCCCAGAGCCGAAACCGCCCCGAAATCCCGCAAAAAAATAGCAAAAAACCAAAAAAAAACCAAAAAAAAACCACAAAAAACCACCCCAAAACCCCCCCAAAAATAGCAAAACCCACAAAAAAACCCAAAGCCACACAAAAAAAAACTCCAAAAAAAACCCAGCCCAACACCCACAGAAACCAAAACCTCCCCAAAAAACACCCCAAAACCCCACAAAAAAACCCCAAAACCCCAAAACAAACCACCCCAAAACACCCAAAAAAACCTAAAACCCCACAAAAAATACCAAAAACCCGCAAAAAAACCAAAAAAACCCCACAAAAAACCACCCCAAAACCCCCCAAAAAACACCCCCAAAACCCCCGAGCCAAAACCGCCCCAAAACCCCTAAAAAAACCCCAAAAACCCCGCAAAAAAAACCAAAGAAAACCACAAAAAACCACCCCAAAACGCCCTAAAAAACCCCAAAACCCACAAAAAAACCACCCCAAAACCCCCCAAAAAACACCCACAAAACCCCAGAGACAAAACCGCCCCGAAATCCCACAAAAAAAACCCAAAACCCCACAAAAAAAACCCCAAAACTCCCCAAAAAAACACCCCCAAAACCCCCCAAAAACACCCCAAAACCCCAGAGACAAAACCGCCCAAAATCCCACAAAAAAATACCAAAAAACCAAAAAAAAACCACAAAAAAAACCACAAAAAACCACCCCAAAACCACCCCAAAAAATCCAAAATAATGACCAAAAAAACACCCCAAAACCCCCAAAAACACCCCCAAAACCCAGAGCCAAAACCGTCCCGAAATCCTGCAAAAAAACCCAAAACCCCAGCAAAAAACAAAAAAACCCACAAGAAACCACCCAAAAACCCCTAAAAAAAAACCCCAAAACCCCACAAAAACACCCGAAACCCCAAAAAATAGCAAAAACCCCACAAAAAAACCCAAAACCACAGAAAAAAAACAAAACCACACAAAAAACCACCCCAAAATCCCCAAGAAAACCCAAAAAACTCCCAAAAAAACCCACCCAAAACACCCACAAAAACCCCAAAACCTCCCCAAAAAACACCCCACAAAAAACCACCCCAAAACCCCCCAAAAAACCACCCCAAAACCCCCCAAAAAAACCCCCAAAACCCCCAAAAAAAAACCCAAAAAAAATCCTAAAACCCCACAAAAAAAAAAAAAAAAAAAAACCCAAAACCTCCCCAAAAAAACCCCAAAAAACCACCCCAAAACCTCCCCAAAATCCCCCAAGACCCCCAAAAAAACCATCCCAAAACCCCAAAAAAAACCCAAAACTCCCAAAACAACCCCAGGAACCCAAAATTCCCCAAAATTCCCCAAAACCACCCCAAAAAAACCCAAAATAATGACCCAAAAAAACACCCCAAAAATGACCCCAAAATGACCCCAAAACTGCCCCAAAACTGCCCCAAAACCGCCCAAAAATCACCCAAAAATCACCCAAAATGCCCCAAAATTGCCCAAAATTCCCCAAAATACCCCAAAATTGCCCAAAATGCCCCAAAACCACCCCAAAAATCCAAAATAATGACCCAAAAAAACACCCCAAAAATGACCCCAAAACTGCCCCAAGACCGCCCAAAAATAACCCCAAAATGCCCCAAAATGCCCAAAATTCCCCAAAAACCCCAAAATTCCCCAAAATTACCTAAAATTTCCCAAAATTACCCAAAACCACCCCAAAAAATCCAAAAGAATGACCCAAAAAAACACCCCAAAATGACCCCAAAACCACCCAAAATCACCCAAAAATCACTCCAAAAAACCCAAAATTCCCCAAAATTGCCCAAAATGCCCAAAATGCCCAAAATTGCCCAAAAAGCCCCAAAATCCCGACCTGTTCGGGCCAACCGAAGATGGAGAACGGGAAAAGGCCGGAGGAGAACCACGTGTCCAGCACGTCCTGGTCTGAGAGTGACCACTGAGTGACCACTGAGTGACCACTGAGTGACCACTGAGTGACCAACTGACCACTGAGTGACCACTGAGTGACCACTGACCATTGACCCATGGGAGTGACCACTGAGTGACCACTGAGTGACCACTGAGTGACCATCAGTGTCCAGCACGTCCTGGTCTGAGAGTGACCACTGAGTGACCAACTGACCAACTGACCACTGAGTGACCAACTGACCACTGAGTGACCACTGACCACTGAGTGACCATCAGTGTCCAGCACGTCCTGGTCTGAGAGTGACCACTGAGTGACCAACTGACCACTGAGTGACCACTGACCACTGAGTGACCACTGAGTGACCACTGACCCATGGGAGTGACCACTGAGTGACCACTGACCACTGACCACTGAGTGACCAACTGACCACTGAGTGACCACTGAGTGACCAACTGACCACTGAGTGACCACTGAGTGACCACTGAGTGACCACTGAGTGACCAACTGACCACTGAGTGACCCCTGAGTGACCACTGAGTGACCACTGAGTGACCAACTGACCACTGAGTGACCACTGAGTGACCACTGAGTGACCAACTGACCACTGAGTGACCACTGAGTGACCACTGAGTGACCAACTGACCAACTGACCACTGACCAACTGACCACTGACCACTGAGTGACCACTGAGTGACCACTGAGTGACCACTGACCACTGAGTGACCACTGAGTGACCACTGAGTGACCACTGACCACTGAGTGACCACTGAGTGACCACTGAGTGACCACTGAGTGACCACTGACCCATGGGAGTGACCACTGACCACTGAGTGACCACTGACCAGTGAGTGACCCTGAGTGACCCCAAATGACCCCAAGTGACCCTGAGTGACCCTAAGTGACCCTAAGTGACCCTGAGTGACCCTGAGTGACCCCGAGTGACCCCCGAGTGACCCTGAGTGACCAGTGAATGACCAGTGACCACTGAGTGACCACTGACCACTGAGTGACCCCGAATGACCCCTGCCCACCTTGGCGCAGGCTGACCGCAGTGACCCTGAGTGACCCTGAGTGACCCTGAGTGACCCTGAGTGACCCCTGAATGACCATGAATGACCCCAAATGACCTCGAGTGACCCCCAGTGACCCCTGCTGACCCCGGCTGACCTTGGCGCAGGCTGACCGCAGTGACCCTGAGTGACCCTGAGTGACCCTGAGTGACCAGTGACCCTGAGTGACCCCGAGTGACCATGAATGACCCCGAGTGACCCCCAGTGACCCCTGCTGACCCCGGCTGACCTTGGCGCAGGCTGACCCTGAGTGACCCTGAATGACTCTGAATGACCCCGAGTGACCCCAACTGACCCTGAGTGACCAGTGAGTGACCAGTGACCACAGTGATCATGAATGACCCCAAATGACCCGTGTGACCCCTGCTGACCTTGGCGCAGGCTGACCGCAGTGACCCCGAGTGACCCTGAGTGACCCCGAATGACCCTGAATGACTCTGAATGACCCCGAGTGACCATGAATGACCCGAGTGACCCCAAATGACCCCGTGTGACCCGTGTGACCCCTGACCTTGGCGCAGGCTGACCCCTGAGTGACCCCGAGTGACCCTGAGTGACCCCGAATGACCCTGAGTGACCCTGAGTGACCCTGAGTGACCCCGAGTGACCCCGAGTGACCCCTGCTGACCCCTGCTGACCCCGTGTGACCCCTGCTGACCCCAGTGACCCCGGCTGACCTTGGCGCAGGCTGACCGCCGCCGGGGTCACGCCGAAGGTCGCGGCGGCCTTGCTGCGCGCCTCGTCCTCAGTGCGGCCGCTGACCCAGAACCGCTCGTCCTCCTCCTGCCCGAAAACCCCAAAATTCACCCCAAAATCACCCCGAAAACGCCCAAAGTCACCCCAAAGTCACCCCAAAATCACCCCAAAATCACCCCAAATCCCAAAAACGCCCAAAATCACCCCAAAATCACCCAAAACGCCAAAATCACCCCAAAACCCAAACATGGCAAAAGGAACCCCAAAATCACCCCCAAATCCCAAAAATGGCAAAATTCACCCCAAAATCTGAGACAGGACCCCAAAAACCACAAAAGTCACCCCAAGAATACCTAAATTTACCCCAAAATCTGAGACGGGACCCCAAAAACCACAAAAGTCACCCCAAAAGTCACCCCAAAATCCAAACACGGCCAAAGGCACCCCAAAATCTGAGACGGGACCCCAAAACCACCAAAAGTCACCCCAAAACACCCCAAAATCACCCCGAAACCCCAAAAATGGCAAAAGTCACCCCAAAATCTGAGACAGGACCCCAAAAACCACAAAAGTCACCCCAATAATCACCCCAAAATCTGAGATGGAACCCCAAAAATGCCAAAATTCACCCCAAAATCACCCCAAAAACGCCCAAAGTCACCCCAAAATCACCCCAAAATCACCCCCAAATCCCAAAAACCCCAAAAGTCACCCCAAAATCACCCCAAAACCGCCAAAATTCACCCCAAAATCACCCCGAAATCACCCCAAAATCACAAACACGGCCAAAGGCACCCCGAAATCTGAGACGGGACCCCAAAAACCACGAAAGTCCCCCCAAAAACACCCCAAAATCCCAAAATGGCAAAAGTAACCCCGAAATCTGAGATGGGACCCCAAAAACACCAAAAGTCATCCCAAAAACCAAAATGTGACCCTGGGGACCCCAAATCCCCTCCCAGTCCCTCCCAGTATAAACCAGTTCCCTCCCAGTCCCTCCCAGTTCCCTCCCAGTCTATCCCAGTCCCTCCCAGTATATCCCAGTATATCCCAGTCCATCCCAGTCCCCCCCAGTCCCCCCCAATCCCCTCCCAGTATATCCCAGTCCGTCCCAGTCCCTCCCAGTATATCCCAGTATAAACCAGTCCCCCCCCAGTCCCTCCCAGTCCCTCCCAGTATATCCCAGTTAATCCCAGTTTCCCCCAGTCCCTTCCCAGTCTCCCCCAGTCCCTTCCCAGTCTCCCCCAGTCTCCCCCAGTCCATCCCAGTCCCTCCCAGTCCCTCCCAGTATATCCCAGTATAAACCAGTTCCCCCAGTCCCTCCCAGTCCTTCCCAGTCCCTCCCAGTATATCCCAGTCCGTCCCAGTGCCCCCAGTCCCCCCCCAATCCCCTCCCAGTATATCCCAGTATAAACCAGTTCCCTCCAGTTCCCCCAAATCCCCTCCCAGTCCCCTCCCAGTATAAACCAGTGCCCTCCCAGTCCCTCCCAGTTCCTCACAGTATAAACCAGTTCCCCCAAATCTCCCCCAGTCCTTCCAGTCCCTCCCAGTTCCCCCCAGTCCCTCCCAGTCCCTCCAGTATATCCCAGTCCATCCCAGTCCCTCCCAGTATAAACCAGTCCCCTCCCAGTATATCCCAGTATAAACCAGTCCCCCTCCCAGTTTCCCCCAGTATCCCCCAGTATATCCAGTATATCCCAGTCCGTCCCAGTCCCTCCCAGTCCCTCCAGTTCCCTCCAGTTCCCTCCCAGTTCCCTCCCAGTCCATCCCAGTATATCCCAGTATATCCCAGTCCCTCCCAGTCCCTCCCAGTCCATCCCAGTATAAAAGTATAAACCAGTCCCTCCAGTACCCCCAGTCCCTCCCAGTCCCCCCAGTGCCCTCCCAGTATATCCCAGTATAACCCAGTCCCCTCCCAGTCCATCCCAGTATATCCCAGTCCCCCCCAATCCCCTCCCAGTGCCCCAAATCCCCTCCCAGTCCCTCCCAGTATAAACCAGTTCCCTCCCAGTCCTTCCCAGTCCCTCCCAGTATATCCCAGTCCCCCCCAGTATATCCCAATTCCATCCCAGTTCCCTCCCAGTCCCTCTCAGTCCGTCCCAGTCCCTCCCAGTATAAACCAGTGCCCTCCCAGTATATCCTAGTCCCTCCCAGTCCCCTCCAGTCCCCCCCAATCCCCCCAGTCCCTCCCAGTATATCCCAGTTCCCTCCCAGTATATCCCAGTCTGTCCCAGTCCCCCCAGTATATCCAGTATAAACCAGTATATCCCAATCCCCTCCCAGTCCCTCCCAGTTCCTCCCAGTTCCCCCAAATCCCCTCCCAGTGCCCTCCCAGTCCCCCAGTCCCTCCCAGTTCTCCCAGTTCATTCCCAATCTATTCCCAGTCCATCCCAGTTCCCCCCAGTCCCTCCCAGTTCATCCAGTCCATCCCAGTATAAACCAGTTCCCCCCAGTGCCCCCCAATCCCCTCCCAGTATATCCCAGTCCATCCCAGTATATCCCAGTCTGTCCCAGCCCGCACCTCCCCGGGGGGCACTCGGGGGTCGCTGATGGTGACGAAATAGGCGGGGATGCGATGGCCCCACCAGAGCTGCCGCGAGATGCACCAGTCCCTGCGGGGCAGGTTAGGGGGCAGGTTATGGGGTGTGGGGTGTGGGGGGGATGTGGGGCAGGTTATGGGCAGGGTTATGGGGTGTGGGGCGGCTGTGGGGTGTGGGGAAGGGTTATGGGGTGGTTATGGGGTGTGGGTGTGGGGTTTGGGGTGGTGTGGGGTCGCTATGGGGCAGGGCTGTGGGGTATGGGGTCAGTCTATGGGGTTTGGGGCAGGATTATGGGGTATGGGTCAGTCTATGGGGTCGCTGTGGGGCAGGGTTATGGGTCACTATGGGGCAGGGTTATGGGTATGGGTCAGTCTATGGGGTGTGGGGCAGGGTTATGGGGTCACTATGGGGCAGGGCTGTGGGGTGTGGGTCAGTCTATGGGCAGGTTATGGGCAGGGTTATGGGGTCACTATGGGGCAGGGCTATGGGGTAATGGGTCAGTCTATGGGGTCACTATGAGGCAGGGTTATAGGGCAGGGCTGTGGGGTGTGGGGTGGTGTGGGGTGTGGGGTGTGTGGTGTGTGTGGGGCAGGTTATGGGGTGGGTGTGAGGTGGGTGTGGGTCGCTATGGGCCAGTCTATAGGGTCACTATGGGGGCACGGTTATGGGGTCGCTATTAGGGCAGATGTGGGTCACGCTATGGGGCAGGTTATGGGGTGGGTGTGGGGTGGGTGAGGGGTTGCTATGGGGCAGTCTATAGGGTCACTATGGGGCAGGGTTATGGGTGTGGGGCGGCTGTGGGTGTGGGGTGTGGGGTGTGGGGCAGGGTTAGGGGTGTGGGGCAGGGTTATGGGGTGTGGGGCAGGGTTATGGGTGGCTATGGGGTGGGTGTGGGGGGGCTGTGGGGTCGCTATAGGGCAGGCTTATTGGGGTATGGGTCAGTCTATAGGGTCGCTATGGGATAGACCCTCACCTGATGTTCTCCATCCAGCCGAACCAGGTGTGGGGCAGGGCTATGGGGTCACTATAGGATCTCTATAGGGTCTCTATGGGGTATCTATGGGGTCGCTATGGGGCAGATGTGGGTCACGCTATGGGGCAGGTGTGGGTCAGGCTCACCTGATGTTGTCCATCCAGGTGAACCAGGTGCGGGCGTGGCCGGGCGGGTGCGGGGTCGCTATGGGGTCACTATAGGCTCTCTATGGGGTCTCTATGGGGTCTCTATGGGGTCGCTATGGGTCAGGCTATGGGTCAGGCTATGGGTCAGGCTATGGGGCAGATGTGGGTCAGGCTATGGGGCAGGGGCTCACCTGATGTTGTCCATCCAGGTGAACCAGGTGCGGGCGTGGCCAGGTGGGTGCAGGGTCGCTATAGGGTCACTATGGGATTTCTATGGGGTATCTATGGGGTCGCTATGGGGCAGATGTGGGTCACGCTATGGGTCACGCTATGGGTCACGCTGTGGGTCAGGCTCACCTGATGTTGTCCATCCAGGTGAACCAGGTGCGGGCGTGGCCAGGTGGGTGCAGCCGCAGCTCCCCGCTCCTCACGGCGCCCGCGGGCCCGCCTCGGCCAGAGCCCCACAGCGGCACGAACCACTGGGCCACGGCCCGGGGCTCCAGGATGTCCTTTGGAGCGGCTGTGGGACACCCTGTGTCACTGAAGTGTCACCTGTCACACCTGTGTCACACCTGTGTCACACCTGTGTCACACCTGTGTCACACCTGTGTCACCACTGGGGCACGGCCCGGGGCTCCAGGATGTCCTTGGAGCGGCTGTGGGGCAGGTAACGTGTCACCTGTCACACCTGTGTGTCACCTGTCACACCTGTGTCACACCTGTGTCACACCTGTGTCACACCTGTGTCACACCTGTGTCACACCTGTGTCACACCTGTCACACCTGTGTCACACCTGTGTCACCACTGGGGCACAGCACGGGGCTCCAAAATGTCCTTGGAGCGGCTGTGGGGACACCTGAGTGTCACCTGTGTCACCTGTCACACCTGTGTCCCACCTGTGTGTCACCTGTGTCACCTGTGTCCCACCTGTGTCACCTGTCACACCTGTGTGTCACCTGTGTCATCTACAGTCACCTACAGTCACCCACTGTCACCTGTGTCACACCTGTGTCACACCTGTCCCACCTGTGTCACACCTGTCCCCCTCACCTGCACACAGGTACCACCATGGGGTCACCATTGTCCCACCTGTGTGTCACACCTGAGTCACACCTGTGTCCCCCTCACCTGTCCCACCTGTCTCACCTGCACACAGGTACCACCATGGGGTCACCACTGTCACCTGTGTCCCACCTGTGTCCCACCTGTGTCCCACCTGTGTCACACCTGTGTCACACCTGTGTCACACCTGTGTCACCTGTCCCACCTGTCTCACCTGCACACAGGTACCACCATGGGGTCACCATTGTCACACCTGTGTCACACCTGTGTCACACCTGTGTCCCACCCGTGTCACACCTGTGTGTCACCTGTCACACCTGTGTCACACCTGTGTCACACCTGTCCCCCCTTACCTGCACACAGGTACCACCATGGGGTTCTCGGTGACCCCCCGGAACAGCCCCAGCGCCTTCAGAGTGTCCATCAGTGTCCGGCGGGCCTGGAACCGCGGCATGCCCTGAGAGTGACCAGTGAGTGACCGCTGAGTGACCGCTGAGTGACCACTGAGTGACCACAGTGACCACTGAGTGACCACTGAGTGACCACAGTGACCACTGAGTGACCACACTGACACTGAGTGTCCATCAGCGTCCGGCGGGCCTGGAACCGCGGCATGCCCTGCGAGTGACCAGTGAGTGACCAGTGAGTGACCACTGAGTGACCACTGAGTGACCATTGACCCGTGGGAGTGACCACAGTGACCACTGAGTGACACTGAGTGACCACTGAGTGACCAGTGAGTAACCACTGAGTGACCCTGAGTGACCCTGAGTGACCACTGCCCCCTAAGTGACCATTGAGTGTCCAGTGAGTGACCCTGAGTGACCGCTGAGTGACCACAGTGACCACTGACATATGGGAGTGACCACTGAGAGATCGCTGAGTGACCACAGTGACCACTGAGTGACCAGAGTGACCTGAATGACCACTGCCCCCTAAGTGACCACTGAGTGACCACTGAGTGACCCCTGAGTGACCACAGTGACAACTGAGTGACCACCACAACTGCCCCAAACCAACCCAAACCACCCAAAACCCCCAAATCTCCCCCAAAATGACCCAAAATCCCCCAAATCTCACCCAAACCCCCAAATTTCACCGAAAATGACCCAAAATCCCCCAAATCCCCCCCAAAATGACCCCCCTGGAAGGGGGGGGGGGGGGCACGTTGACCCCCCAAATCCCCCCAAACCCCCCAAATCTCCCCCAAATCTCCCCAAATCCCCCCAAACCCCCAAATCTCACCCAAACCCCCCAAAACCCCCCCAAATCCCCCAAACCCCCCAAAATCCCCCAAACCCCCCAAATCCCCCCCAAACCCCCCAACCCCCCAAATCCCCCCAAATCTCACCCCAAAATCCCCCCAAATCCCCCCCAAATCTCCCCAAATCCCCCCCAAAATCCCCCCAAATCTCCCCCAAAATGACCCAAAATCCCCCAAATCCCCCCAAATCCCCCCCGAATCTCCCCCCAAACCCCCTAAATCCCCCCAAATCTCACCCAAATCCCCCCAAATCCCCCCAAAATCTCCCCCAAATCCCCCCCAAATCACCCAAATCTCACCCAAAATGACCCAAAACCCCCCAAATCTCCCCAAAAATGACCCAAATCTCACCCAAATCCCCCCCAAAACCCCCCAAAATCCCCCCAAATCCCCCCAAATCTCACCCAAATCTCACCCCAAACCCCCCAAATCCCCCCCAAACCCCCCAAATCTCCCCCAAATGCCCCCCAAATCTCCCCCAAAATGACCCAAAATCCCCCCAAAACCCCCAAATCCCCCAAATCCCACCCAAACCAACCGAAAACCATCTGAAACGACCCAAATCTCACCCAAACCACCCCAAAACCCCCCAAATCTCACCCAAAAACCCCCAAATCCCCCCAAATCTCACCCCAAATCCCCCCAAATCCCCCCCAAATCTCACCCCAAACCACCAAAATCTCCCCCAAATCTCCCCCAAATCCCCCCAAATCCCCCCCAAATCTCCCCAAATCCCCCCCAAAATCCCCCCAAATCTCACCCAAAACCCCCCAAACCTCCCCCAAAATGACCAAAAATCCCCCAAAACCCCCAAATCTCACCCGAAATGACCCAAAACCCCCCAGATCTCCCCCAAATCCCCCCCAGACGCCCCCAGACCCACCTGGAAGGGGGGCGGCACGTTGACCCCCCAAATCCCCCCAAACCCCCCAAATCTCCCCCAAAATGACCCAAAACCCCCCAAATCCCCCCCAAAATGACCCAAAACCCCCCAAACCCCCCAAACCCCTCCAAACCCCCCAAATCTCACCCAAAATAACCCCAAAACCCCCAAATCCCCCCAAATCTCCCCAAATCCCCCAAAACTCCCCAAATCTCCCCCAAAATGACCGAAAATGACCCAAAATTTCACCCCAAACTCCCCCAAATCTCACCCCAAACCGCCCAAATCTCACCCAAAATGACCGAAAATGACCCAAAATGACCCAAAATGCCCCTACCTGGAAGGGGGGCGGCACGTTGACCATGGTCCCGTCCTCCCCGATGACCTCGCTGACGCTCAGCCCGTGGCGCCGCCCCACCTCGAAATCCGCCGCGTCGTGGGCGGGGGTGATCTTCACCGCGCCTGGGGGCGGGGCCAGTGCGGACACGCCCACGGGACACGCCCACGGGACACGCCCAGATAAACCACGCCCACCCCCAGCCACACCCACCTTGGACACCCCCCCAGACACGCCCATCCTGGACACGCCCATCCAAAAAACGCCCACTTTAAACCACACCCAGGTTGGCCACGCCCACCCCAGACACACCCACCAAGGACACGCCTACCCCGGACACGCCCACCCTGGACACGCCCACCTCATCCAAAACCCCCTGGGCACGCCCACCGGGACACGCCCACCAAGGACACGCCCAGGTTGGCCACGCCCACTTTAAACCACATTTAGGTTGGCCACGCCCACTTTAAGCCACATCCAGGTTGGCCACGCCCACTCCCAGCCACGCCTAGATTAGCCACGCCCACCGGGACACGCCCACCTCATCTAAACCCACCCCAGGACACGCCCACCCGGGACACACCCACATGAGACACGCCCAGTGCTGGACACGCCCACTGAGGACACGCCCACCCCGGACACGCCCTCCATAAAAAGTTGGGCCCACACCCATTTAAGCCACGCCCCTAAATAACCACACCCAAACAGCCCACGCCCCTAAATACACACACCCAATCAAACCACGCCCCCAAATAACCACGCCCATTAATAACCACACCCATTAATAACCACACCCATTAATAACCACACCCATTAATAACCACACCCATTAATAACCACACCCATTAATAACCACACCCAATCAGGCCACACCCCTAAATAACCACACCTGATCAGGCCACGCCCCTAAATAACCACACCTATTAATAACCACACCCATTAATAACCACGCCCCTAAATAACCACACCCAATCAGGCCACGCCCCTAAATAACCACACCCATTAATAACCACACTTAATCAAACCACACCCCTGAGAGGCCACGCCCAAATGGCCACACCCATTAATAACCACACCCATTAATAACCACGCCCCCAAATAACCACACCCAATCAGGCCACGCCCCCAAATAACTATACCCAATAAAGCCACACCCAATCAAACCACACCCCTGAGAGGCCACGCCCAAATGGCCACACCCCTTTAAGCCACGCCCCTAAGCCACTACACCCAATCAGTTCGCACCTAGATAGCCACACCCTTTAAAGCCACGCCCCTAAATAACCACACCCAATCAGGCCACGCCCCTAAATAACCACACCTATTAATAGCCACACCCAAATAGGCCACGCCCCCAAATAACCACACCCATCAATAGCCACGCCCCCAAGCGGCCCCGCCCCGCCCCCTCTGGCCCCGCCCCCTCACCTGTCCCAAATTCGGGGTCCACGAAGGGGTCGTGCAGCACCGGGAGGCGCCGCCCCGTCAGCGGGTGCAGCACGTAACGGCCCCGCAGGTGCTGCAGGTGAGAGAGAGGGCGTGGCCGTGGGGCGTGGCCGTGGGGCGTGGCCGTGGGGCGTGGCCGTGGGGCGTGGCCGTGGGGCGGGGCCGTGGGGCGGGGCCGTGGGGCGTGGCCGTGGGGAGGGACACGCCCACCTGGCGCACCTGGGCAGGCCCCGCCTTGGGACCCCCCCCTTAAAAGGGATTGGGGGGCTCAGGTGGGGCTGGACACGCCCACAGGTGTGTTAGCCACGCCCACAGGTGTGTTTTAGCCCCGCCCCCAGGTGTGTAAGCCACGCCCTCACCTGGTACCGGGGGTCCTCGGGGTGCACGGCCACGCCCTCGTCCCCCAACATCGTCTCCAGACGCGTCGTGGCCACCACGACCTCGGGGGGCTCACCTGGGCCTGGGGGGGACCCCAGACCCATTTAGGGGACCCATGGACAGACCCCAGACCCACAGAGACCCCAAAAGGACTCTCTGGGACCCCCCAGGACCCCCCAAACCCCCATGGGACCCCAAAAACCCCCCAGAGACCCCAAAGAGACCCCACAAACCCCATAGAGACCCCAAAGGGACCCCAGACCCATTGAGAGACCCATAGAGAGACCCCCAATGGGACCCCAAAAACCCCACAGATGGACCCCCAAAGGGACCCCAGACCCATCAGGGGACCCCAGACCCATGGGGGGATCCCAGACCCATTGAGGGACCCATTGAGGGACCCATAGAGAGACCCCAGACACACTGAGGGACCCCCAAAGGGACCCCAGACCCACTGAGGGACCCCAAAAACCCCACAGAGACCCCAAAGAGACCCCCAAGGTGACCCCAAAACCCCCCAGAGCCCCCCTGGGACCCCCAAAGTGACCCCAAAACCCCCTGGGACCCCCAAAGTGACCCCCCAAACCCCACAAATACCCCACAGAGACCCCCTGGGAGCCCCTAAAACAGCACAAAGACCCCAAAGAGACCCCCTGGGACCCCCCCAAACCCCCCAGAGACCCCAAAGATACCCCCAGAGACCCCCTGGGACCCCCAAAAAGACCCCAAAACCCCACAGAGACCCCCTGGGACCCCCAAAGTGACCCCAAAAACCCCACAGAGACCCCCTGGGACCCCCAAAATGACCCCAAACCCCACAGAGACCCCCTGGGACCCCCAAAAAGACCCCTCAGGATCCCCCAAACCCCCCAAAGACCCCCTGGGACCCCCAAAGTGACCCCCCAAACCCCACAGAGACCCCACAGAGACCCCCTGGGACCCCAAAAAGACCCAAAAACCCCACAGAGACCCCCTGGGACCCCCAAAAAGACCCCCCAGGACCCCCCAAATCCCACAGAGACCCCCTGGGACCCCCAAAGAGACCCCAAACTCCACAGAGACCCCCAAAATAACCTCAAAAACCCCACAGAGACTCCCTGGGACCCCCCAGACCCCACAGAGACCCCCTGAGACCCCCAAAGTGACCCCCTGGGACCCCCCGAGCCCCCCACTCACCGGCCCCCTCCAGGGGGTAGGCGAAGGACACCAACACCCCAAATTCCACCGGCTCCTCATAACCCGGGACCCGCAGGAGGGTGCGGCCCCCCAACTCCTTCTTCTCCACCTGGGGACCCCCAAAAACCCCTGAGAGACCCCCAAAAACACCCCAAAAAACCCCCAAAAATCCCCCAAAAAAACCAACTCCTTCTTCTCCACCTGGGGACCCCCAAAAACCCCTGAGAGACCCCCAAAAACACCCCAAAAATACCCCAAAAATCCCCCAAAAAAACCAACTCCTTCTTCTCCACCTGGACACCCAAAAACCCCTCAGGGACCCCCAAAAACACCCCAAAAATCCCAAAAAAACCAACTCCCCCTTCTCCACCTGGGGACCCCCAAAAACCCCTGTGGGACCCCCAAAAATACCCCAAAAATACCCCAAAAAAACCCCAAAAAAACCAACTCCTTCTTCTCCACCTGGGGACCCCCAAAAACCCCTCAGGGACCCCCAAAAACACCCCAAAAATACCCCAAAAATACCCCAAAAAAACCAACTCCCGCTTCTCCACCTGGGGACCCCCAAAAACCCCTGAGAGACCCCAAAAATACCCCAAAAATACCCCAAAAATCCCCCAAAAAAACCAACTCTTTCTTCTCCACCTGGGGACCCACAAAACCCCTCAGGGACCCCCAAAAACCCCCAAAAATACCCAAAAATCCCCCAAAAAAACCAACTCCCCCTTCTCCACCTGGGGACCCCCAAAAACCCCTCAGGGACCCCCAAAAACACCCCAAAAATACCCCAAAAATCCCCCAAAAAAACCAACTCCTTCTTCTCCACCTGGGGACCCCCAAAAACTCCTGAGAGACCCCCAAAAACACCCCAAAAATACCCAAAAAATACCCCAAAAAAACCAACTCCCGCTTCTCCACCTGGGGACCCCCAAAAACCCCTCAGGGACCCCCAAACATCCCCCAAAAAAACCCCAAAAATACCCCAAAAAACCAACTCCCCCTTCTCCACCTGGGGACCCCCAAAAACCCTGAGAGACCCCCAAAAACACCCCAAAAATACCCAAAAATACCCCAAAAAAACCAACTCCTTCTTCTCCACCTGGGGACCCCCAAAAACCCCTCAGGGACCCCCAAAAATACCCCAAAAATACCCCAAAAAAACCCAAATCCCCCAACTCCTTCTTCTCCACCTGGGGACCCCCAAAAACCCCTGAGGGACCCCCAAAAATACCCCAAAAACGCCCCAAAATACCCCAAAAAACCAACTCCTTCTTCTCCACCTGGGGACCCCCAAAAACCCCTGAGAGACCCCCAAAAATACCCAAAAATACCCCAAAAATACCCCAAAAAAACAACTCCCCCTTCTCCACCTGGGGACCCCCAAAAACCCCTCAGGGACCCCCAAAAATACCCCAAAAATACCCCAAAAAAACCAACTCCCCCTTCTCCACCTGGGGACCCCCAAAAACCCCTGAGAGACCCCCAAAAACACCCCAAAAATACCCCAAAAATCCCCCAAAAAAAACAACTCCTTCTTCTCCACCTGGGGACCCCCAAAAACCCCTGAGAGACCCCCAAAAACACCCCAAAAATACCCCAAAAAATACCCCAAAAAAACCAACTCCCCCTTCTCCACCTGGGGACCCCCAAAAACCCCTGAGGGACCCCCAAAAACACCCCAAAAATACCCCAAAAATACCCAAAAAAAACCAACTCCTTCTTCTCCACCTGGGACCCCCAAAAACCCCTGAGGGACCCCCAAAAACACCCCAAAAATCCCCCAAAAATACCCCAAAAAAACCAACTCCTTCTTCTCCACCTGGGGACCCCAAAAACCCCTCAGGGACCCCCAAAAACACCCCAAAAATCCCCCAAAAAACCCCAAATCCCCCAACTCCTTCTTCTCCACCTGGGGACCCCCAAAAACCCCTGAGGGACCCCCAAAAATACCCCAAAAATACCCCAAAAAAAACAACTCCTTCTTCTCCACCTGGGGACCCCAAAAACCCCTCAGGGACCCCCAAAAATACCCAAAATCCCCCAAAAAAACCAACTCCTTCTTCTCCACCTGGGGACCCCCAAAAACCCCTGAGAGACCCCCAAAAACACCCCAAAAATACCCCAAAAATCGCCCAAAAAAACCAACTCCTTCTTCTCCACCTGGGGACCCCCAAAAACCCCTGAGAGACCCCCAAAAACACCCCAAAAATACCCAAAAATACCCCAAAAATCCCCCCAAAAAAACCAACTCCTTCTCCACCTGGGGACCCCCAAAAACCCCTCAGGGACCCCCAAAAACACCCCAAAAAACCCCAAAAATATCCCAAAAAAACCAACTCCTTCTTCTCCACCTGGGGACCCCCAAAAACCCCTGAGAGACCCCCAAAAACACCCCAAAAATACCCCAAAAAAACCAACTCCTTCTTCTCCACCTGGGGACCCCAAAAAACCCCTCAGGGACCCCCAAAAACACCCCAAAAATACCCCAAAATACCCCAAAAAACCAACTCCCCCTTCTCCACCTGGGGACCCCCAAAAACCCCTCAGGGACCCCAAAAACACCCCAAAAATACCCCAAAAATCCCCCAAAAAAACCAAATCCCCCATTCTCCACCTGGGGACCCCCAAAAACCCCTCAGGGACCCCCAAAAACACCCCAAAAATACCCCAAAAATCCCCCAAAAAAACCAACTCCCCCTTCTCCACCTGGGGACCCCCAAAAACCCCTGAGAGACCCCCAAAAATACCCCAAAACACCCCAAAAAAACCAACTCCTTCTTCTCCACCTGGGGACCCCCAAAAACCCCTGAGGGACCCCCAAAAACACCCCAAAAATACCCCAAAAATACCCCCAAAAAACCAACTCCTTCTTCTCCACCTGGGGACCCCCAAAATCCCCTGAGAGACCCCCAAAAATACCCCAAAAAATACCCAAAAATACCCCAAAAAAACCAACTCCCAATTCTCCACCTGGGGACCCCCAAAAACCCCTGAGAGACCCCCAAAAACACCCCAAAAATACCCCAAAAAAACCAACTCCCGCTTCTCCACCTGGGACCCCCAAAAACCCCTCAGGGACCCCCAAAAACACCCCAAAAATACCCCAAAAAAAACAACTCCTTCTTCTCCACCTGGGGACCCCCAAAAACCCCTCAGGGACCCCCAAAACACCCCAAAAATACCCCAAAAATCCCCCCAAAAAATCAACTCCTTCTTCTCCACCTGGGGACCCCCAAAAACCTCTGAGGGACCCCCAAAAATACCCAAAAATACCCCAAAAAAACCAACTCCCGCTTCTCCACCTGGGGACCCCAAAAACCCCTCAGGGACCCCCAAAAATACCCCAAAACACCCCAAAAATCCCCAAATTTTTTAGGGGTTTTTAGGGGTTGGTTCTGGATGTGTTTTTGGGGGATTTTTGGGGCTTTTTGGGGTGATTTTGGGGGCTTTTTTGGGTCTGTTTTTGAGTTGTTTTGGGGTGATTTTGGGGGTTTTTGGGGCTGGTTTTGGGGTGATTTTGGGGGATTTTTGGGGTGATTTTGGGGGATTTTTGGGGGCTGATTTTGGGAGCTGTTTTAGAGAATTTTGGGATGTTTTTGGGGGTGTTTTTGGGGTGTTTTTGGGGCTGTTTTTGGGGGTGTTTTGAGCTGTTTTTGGGGTGTTTTTGGAGGGATTTTTGGGCTTTTTTTGGCTGGTTTTTGAGCTGTTTTGGGGATATTTTTGGGGGTGATTTTGGGATATTTTTGGGGGTGTTTTTGGGGGCTGATTTTGGGAGCTGTTTTAGGGAATTTTAGGGTGATTTTGGGGCTGTTTTTGGACTGTTTTTGGGGGATGTTTTAGGGGGATTTTTGGGTGTTTTTGGGGCTGTTTTGGAGTGCTTTTGGGGGGATGTTTTAAAGGGATTTTTGGGTGTTTTGGGGGGATTTTTGGGGTGGTTTTGGGACATTTTTAGGCGCTGGTTTTAGGCTGTTTTTGGGCTGGTTTTGGGATATTTTCGGGGTGATTTTGGGATATTTTTGGGCTGGTTCTGGGATATTTTTGGGGTAATTTTGGGATATTTTTGGGATGTTTTTGGGATATTTTTGGGGTGGTTTTGGGATATTTTTGGGGTAATTTTGGGATATTTTTGAGCTGTTCTTGGGGCTGGTTTTGGGTCTGTTTTTGAGCGGATTTTGGGGTGATTTTGGGGGTGGTTTTGGGGTGATTTTGGGGGGTGATTTTGGGATATTTTTGGGCTGGTTTTGGGGTGTTTTTGGGATGTTTTTGGGATATTTTTGAGCTGGTTTTGGGGTTGTTTTTGGGGTAATTTTGGGGCTGTTTCTGGGGTGATTTTGGGATATTTCTGGGGTAATTTTGGGATATTTTTGGGGTAATTTTGGGATATTTTTAGGGTGATTTTGGGATATTTTTGGGGTGTTTTGGGGTGATTTTGGGGCCGTTTTTGGAGTGTTTTGGGGTGTTTTTGGGGGATGTTTGGGGTGGTTTTGGGACATTTTTAGCGCTGGTTTTAGGCTGGTTTTGGGGTGATTTTGGGATATTTTTAGGCGCTGGTTCTGGGATATTTTTGGGGTGATTTTGGGATATTTTTGGGGAGATTTTGGGGCTGGTTTTGGGTCTGTTTTTGAGCGGGTTTTGGGGTGATTTTGGGGGTGGTTTTGGGGGATGTTTTAGGGGGATTTTTGGGTGTTTTTGGGGGATTTTTGGGGAGATTTTGGGGCTGTTTTTGGAGTGTTTTGGGGGGATGTTTTAAAGGGATTTTTGGGTTTTTTGGGGGATTTTTGGGGTGGTTTGGGGAAATTTATAGGCGCTGGTTTTAGGCTGTTTTTGGGATATTTTTGGGGGTAATTTTGGGATATTTTTGGGCTGGTTTTGGGATATTTTTGGGGTGATTTTGGGATGTTTTTGGGGTGATTTTGGGATATTTTTGGGGTAATTTTGGGGTGTTTTTGGGATGTTTTTGGGATATTTTTGGGCTGGTTTTGGGATATTTTTGAGCTGTTTTTGGGGCTGTTTTTGGGGCGATTTTGGGATATTTTTGGGGTAATTTTGGGATATTTTTGGGATGACTCAGGGATATTTTTGGGGTAATTTTGGGATATTTTAGGCGCTGTTTCTGGGATATTTTTGGGACGATTTTGGGATATTTTTGGGGTGATTTCGGAGGTTTTTAGGTACCTCAATGTCGGAGATGGCCGAGCGCAGGGCGCAGCTCCAGTGCCCCGATCCCGGGGGTTTGGGGGCGATTTTGGGGGATTTTTGGGGTGGTTTTGGGACATTTTTAGGCGCTGTTTCTGGGATATTTTGGGGGTGATTTTAAGATATTTTTGGGGTGATTTTGGGGGATGTTTTAGGGGGATTTTTGGGTGTTTTTGGGGCTGTCTTTGGAGTGTTTTGGGGGGATTTTGGGGGTGTTTTTATGGGATTTTTGGGGTGTTTTTGGGGGATTTTTGGGGTGTTTTTGGGGGATTTTTAGGCACTGGTTTTAGGCTGGTTTTGGGATATTTTTGTGCTGTTTTGGGATATTTTTGAGGTAATTTTGGGATATTTTTGGGGAGATTTTGGGGCTGTTTTTGGGGTGTTTTTGGGTGTTTTGGGGAGATGTTTTAGGGGGATTTTTGGGTGTTTTTGGGGGATTTTTGGGTTATTTTTGGGGTAATTTTGGGACATTTTTAGGCGCTGTTTCTGGGATATTTTTGGGCTGGTTTTGGGATATTTTTGGGATAATTTTGGGAGATTTTTGGGGTGATTTTGGGGCTGTTTTTGGAGTGTTTTGGGGTGTTTTGGGGGGATTTTTGGGGTGGTTTTGGGACATTTTTAGGCGCTGGTTTTAGGCTGTTTCTGGGATATTTTGGGGGTGATTTTGGGATATTTTTGGGGTGATTTCGGGTGTTTTTGGGTACCTCAATATCCGAGATGGCCGAGCGCAGGGCGCAGCTCCAGTGCCCCGATCCCGGGGGTTTGGGGGCGATTTTGGGGGATTTTGGGGGCTGATTTTGGGAGCTATTTGGGATGTTTTTGGGGCTATTTTTGGGGCTGTTTTTAGAGTGTTTTGGGGTGTTCTTGGGGGCTGTTTTTGGGAGATTTTTGGGGAGATTTTGGGGCTGTTTTTGGGGCTGTTTTTGGAGTGTTTTGAGGTGTTTTTGGGGGATGTTTTAGGGGGATTTTTGGGTGTTTTGGGGGGATTTTTGGGGGATTTTTGGGTGTTTTTGGGGGATGTTTGGGATGGTTTGGGGACATTTTTAGGCGCTGTTTTTGGGATATTTTTGGGATGATTTGGGGATCTTTTTGGGGTGATTTCGGGTGGTTTTGGGTACCTCAATGTCCGAGATGGCCGAGCGCAGGGCGCAGCTCCAGTGCCCCGATCCCGGGGGTTTGGGGGCGATTTTGGGGATTTTGGGGGCTGATTTTGGGAGCTATTTGGGATATTTTGGGGCTGATTTTGGGGTGATTTTGGCGTGGTTTTGGGGGTGCTTTTGGAGTGTTTTTTGAGGTGTTTTTGTGGCTGTTTTTCAGGTGTTTTGGGGTTGTTTTTGGGGTGATTTTGGGGATTTTGGGGGGCTGATTTTGGGAGCTGTTTTAGGGAATTTTGGGATGTTTTGGGGGTGTTTTTGGGGTGTTTTTGGGGCTGTTTTTAGGGGTGTTTTGAGCTGTTTTTGGGGTGTTTTTGGAGGGATTTTTGGGGCTTTTTTTGGTCTGGTTTTTGAGCTGTTTTTGGGATATTTTTGGGGGTGATTTTGGGATATTTTTGGGGTGATTTTGGGATATTTTTGGGGGTGTTTTTGGGGGCTGATTTTGGGAGCTGTTTTAGGGAATTTTAGGGTGATTTTGGGGGGATTTTTGGAGTGTTTTGGGGTGCTTTTGGGGGGATGTTTTAAAGGGATTTTTGGGTGTTTTTGAGGGATTTTTGGGGTGGTTTGGGGACATTTTTAGGCGCTGGTTTTAGGCTGTTTTTGGGATATTTTTGTGCTGTTTTTGGGATATTTTTGGGATATTTTTGGGGGTGATTTTGGGATATTTTTGGAATGATTTTGGGGCTGCTTTTGGAGTGTTTTGGGGTCGCTTTTGGAGTGTTTTGGGGTGTTTTTGGGGGATGTTTTAGGGGGATTTTTGGGTGGTTTTGGGATATTTTTGGGGTGCTTTTGGGATATTTTTGGGGTGATTTTGGGATATTTTTGGGGTATTTTTGGGGTGATTTGGGTACCTCAATGTCCGAGATGGCCGAGCGCAGGGCGCAGCTCCAGTGCCCCGATCCCGGGGGTTTGGGGGCGATTTTGGGGGATTTTTGGGGGCTGATTTTGGGAGCTATTTGGGATATTTTGGGGCTGATTTTGGGGTGATTTTGGCGTGGTTTTGGGGGTGATTTTGGGATATTTTTGGGATGATTTTGGGAGATTTTTGGGGTGATTTTGGGGCTGTTTCTGGGGCTGTTTTTCGAGTGTTTTGGGGCCGTTTTTGGAGTGTTTTGAGGTGGTTTTGGGGGATGTTTTAGGGGGATTTTTGGGTGTTTTTTGGGGGATTTTTGGGGTAATTTTGGGATATTTTTGGGCTGGTTTTGGGATATTTTTGGGCTGGTTTTGGGATATTTTTGGGGTCATTTTGGGATATTTTTGGGGTCATTTTGGGATATTTTTGGGGTAATTTTGGGATATTTTTGGGGTATTTTTGGGTCATTTTTAGGCGCTGATTTTAGGCTGATTTTGGGCTGGTTTTGGGATATTTTTGGGGTGTTTTTGGGGTGATTTGGGTACCTCAATGTCCGAGATGGCCGAGCGCAGGGCGCAGCTCCAGTGCACGATGCGGCGGCTGCGGTAGATCAGCCCCTTCTCGTGCAGCCTCACGAACGCCTCGGTCACCGCCCGACTCATTTTCTGGGGGTCCGGGCGGGTTTTAGGGGGCGCTCAGAGACCCCCGGGACCCCCCAAACCCACCCCAAGCCCCCCACTCACGGGGTCCATGGTGAAACAGGCGCGCTCCCAGTCCATGGAGGCGCCCAGACGCCGCAGCTGCTGGTAAATGCGGTCCCCTTTCCTGGGGAGGGGGAGATGTGGGGCTGGGTGGGGGGCTCGGGGTGGGGAGGGGGATTGGGAGGGGTTGAGGGGGTGTGGGGCGCTTTGGGGGCGCTTTGGGGTCATTTAGGGGTGCCATGGGTCACTTCGGGGTCACTTTGGGGTTATTTAGGGGTGCTATGGGGCACTTTGGGGTCACTTTGGGGTCATTCAGGGGTGCTATGGGTCACTTTGGGGTCACTTTGGGGTCATTCAGGGGGGCTATGGGGCACTTTGGGGTCATTTAGGAGGGCTATGGGGCACTTTGGGGTTATTTAGGGGGGCTATGGGGCACTTTGGGGTCATTCAGGGGGGCTATGGGGCACTTTGGGGTCATTTAGGGGTGCTATGGGGCACTTTGGGGTCATTAAGGGGGACTATGGGGCACTTTGGGGGCGCTTTGGGGTCATTCAGGGGTGCTATGGGTCACTTTGGGGTCATTTAGAGGTGCCATAGGTCACTTTGGGGTCACTTTGGGGGCACTTTGGGGTCATTTAGGGGGGCTATGGGGCAATATGAGGTTATTTAGGGGGGCTATGGGGCACTTTGGGGTCATTCAGGGGTCATTCAGAGGGGTTATGGGTCACTTTGAGGTCATTTAGGGGTCCTTTAGGGGTGCCATGGGGCGCTTTGGGGGCGCTTTGGGGTCTTTTTGGGGTCATTCAGGGGTGCTATGGGGCAATTTGGGGTTATTTAGGGGTGCTATGGGTCACTTTGGGGTCATTCAGGGGTGCTATGGGGCACTTTGGGGTCACTTTGGGGTCACTTTGGGGTCATTTAGGGGTGCTATGGGTCACTTTGAGGTCATTCAGGGGGGCTATGGGTCACTTTGGGGTCATTCAGGGGTGCTATGGGGCACTTTGGGGTTATTCAGGGGTGCTATGGGGCACTTTGGGGTCATTTAGGGGTCACTTTGGGGGCACTTTGGGGTCATTTAGGGGTGCTATGGGTCACTTTGGGGTCACTTTGGGGTCATTTAGGGGGGCTATGGGGCAATTTGAGGTCTTTTTGGGGTCATTCAGGGGTGCTATGGGTCACTCTGTGGTCATTTAGGGGTTATTTAAGGGTGCTATGGGTCACTTTGGGGTCACTTTGGGGTTATTCAAGGGGGCTATGGGTCACTCTGGGGTCACTTAGGGGTCCTTTAGGGGTGCCATGGGGCGCTTTGGGGGCATTAAGGGGTGCTATGGGGCACTTTGGGGTTATTTAGGGGGGCTATGGGTCACTTTGGGGTCACTTTGGGGTCATTCAGGGGTGCTATGGGGCGCTTTGGGGTCATTTAGGGGGGCCACGGGTCACTTTGGGGTCACTTTGGGGTTATTTAGGGGGGCTATGGGTCACTCTGGGGTCATTTTGGGGTCATTTAGGGGTGCCATGGGTCACTCTGGGGTCACTTTGGGGTCATTCAGGGGGGCTATGGGTCACTTTGGGGTCATTCAGGGGGGCTATGGGGCACTTTGAGGTCTTTTTGGGGTCATTAAGGGGGGCTATGGGGCACTTTGGGGTTGTTTAGGGGTGCTATGGGTCACTCTGGGGTCACTTTGAGGTCATTTAGGGGGGCCATGGGTCACTCTGGGGTCACTCTGGGGGCGCTTTGGGGTCATTTAGGGGGGCTATGGGGCAATCTGGGGTCATTAAGGGGGGCTATGGGTCACTCTGGGGTCACTTAGGGGTCATTTAGGGGGGCCATGGGTCACTCTGGGGTCACTTTGAGGTCATTCAGGGGGGCTATGGGTCACTTTGGGGGCACTTTGGGGTCATTAAGGGGGGCTATGGGTCACTTTGGGGTCACTTTGAGGTCATTTAGGGGTGCTATGGGGCACTTTGGGGTCACTCTGGGGTCATTTAGGGGTTATTTCGGGGGGCCATGGGTCACTTTGGGGTTATTAAGGGGTGCTATGGGGCACTTTGGGGTCATTCAGGGGGGCTATGGGGCACTTTGGGGTCATTTAGGGGTGCTATGGGTCACTCTGGGGTCACATTGGGGTCATTCAGGGGGGCTATGGGTCACTTTGGGGTCATTCAGGGGGGCTATGGGGCACTTTGGGGTCATTTAGGGGGGCTATGGGGTCAATCTGGGGTCATTTAGGGGTGCCATGGGGCACTTTGGGGTCATTCAGGGGTGCTATGGGTCACTCTGGGGTCACTTTGGGGTCATTCAGGGGGGCTATGGGTCACTTTGGGGTCACTTTGGGGTAAATCTGGGGTCACTTAGGGGTGCCATAGGTCACTTTGGGGTCACTCTGGGGTCATTTAGGGGTCATTTAGGAGTGCCATGGGTCACTTTGGGGTCATTTAGGGGTGCCATGGGTCACTTTGGGGTCACTTTGGGGTCTTATCGGGGTCATTTAAGGGTGCCATGGTCACTCTGGGGTCAGAGGTCACTCTGTGGTCACCACGGGCCCCTCTCCCGCCCGCCCCGGGGTCAGAGGTCACCCTGTGGTCACTGTGGCCACTCTGGTATCATTCTGATCACTCTGGGGTCACTTTGGTCACTCTGTGGTCACAGTGGTCACCCTGTGGTCACTGTGGCCACTCTGTGCTCACTCTGGTCACTCTGTGGTCACTGTGGTCACTCTGTGGTCACTACGGGCGCCTCTCCCGCCCCCCCCCGGGGTCAGAGGTCACTGTGGTCACCCTGTGGTCACCACAGGCCCCTCTCCCGCCCCCCCCCGGGGTCAGAGGTCACTGTGGTCACTGTGGCCACTCTGTGGTCACCCTGGGGTCACTCTAGCCACTCTGTGGTCACCCTGGGGTCACTGTGGTCACCCTGTGGTCACTGTGGTCACTCTGGGATCACTCTGGTCACCCTGTGGTCACCCTGTGGTCACTCTGGTCACTGCGGGCCCTGCCCCAAGGGTCAGAGGTCACTGTGGTCACTCTGGTCACTGCGGCCCTGCCCCAGGGTCAGAGGTCACTCTGGTCACCACGGGCCCCTCTCCCGCCCCGGGGTCAGAGGTCACTCTGGTCACCGTGGCTCCCTCCCCCAGGGTCAGAGGTCACTCTGGTCACCACGGGCCCCTCTCCCGCCCCCCCGGGGTCAGAGGTCACTCACTCCTCCTTCCAGCGCCACACCTCGGCCAGGAAGGCCTCGCGGCCGAGCTGGTGCCGAGTGACCCCCCGGCAGCGCTGCAGCCGCCGCTCCACCACCACCTGCGTGGCGATGCCGGCGTGGTCACAGCCCGGCGCCCACAGCGTGGTCAGCCCCCGCATCCGGTGCCTGGGGTCAGAGGTCAGCGGGGTCAGTGGGGGTGTTGGGGTCATTGGGGTCATTCAGGGGATTGGGGACATTGGGGACATTGGGGACATTGAGGACATTGGGGACATTGGGGACATTGGGGACATTGGGGACATTGGGGGCATTGGGGTCATTGGGGGCATTGGGGTCACAGCGTGGTCAGCCCCCGCATCCGGTGCCTGGGGGTCACAGAGGTCATTGGGGTCATTGGGGACATTGGGGTCATTGGGGGCATTGGGGTCACAGGGGGGATTGGGGACATTGGGGTCATTGGGGGGATTGGGGACATTGGGGTCATTGGGGTCACAGCGTGGTCAGCCCCCGCATCCGGTGCCTGCGGGTCAGAGGTCACGGGGGTCATTGGGGATGTTGGGGTCATTGGGGACATTGGGGACATTGGGGTCATTCAGGGGATTTGGGTCACTGGGGGTGTTGGGGATATTGGGGACATTGGGGGGTCATTGGGGTCATTGGGGACATTGGGGACATTTGGGTCACTGGGATGGTCACTCCCTGACCCCAGTGGTCATTCCAGACCCCAATGGTCACCCCCGGAGCCCAGTGGTCACTCTGGTCACCCCCTGAGCCCAGTGGTCACTCTGGTCACTCACCAGCGGGTCAGCGTGTCCTGGATGGCCGCGGTCAGGGCGTGGCCCAGGTGGAGGGTCCCAGTGGTCACTCTGGTCACCCCCTGAGCCCAGTGGTCACTCTGGTCACCCCCTGAGCCCAGTGGTCACTCTGGTCACTCACCAGCGGGTCAGCGTGTCCTGGATGGCCGCGGTCAGGGCGTGGCCCAGGTGGAGGGTCCCAGTGGTCACTCTGGTCACCCCCTGAGCCCAGTGGTCACTCTGGTCACCCCCTGAGCCCAGTGGTCACTCTGGTCACCCCCTGAGCCCAGTGGTCACTCTGGTCACTCACCAGCGGGTCAGCGTGTCCTGGATGGCCGCGGTCAGGGCGTGGCCCAGGTGGAGGGTCCCAGTGGTCACTCTGGTCACCCCCTGAGCCCAGCGGTCACTCTGGTCACTCCCTGACCCCAGTGGTCACTCTGGTCACCCCCTGAGCCCAGTGGTCACTCTGGTCACCCCCTGAGCCCAGTGGTCACTCTGGTCACTCACCAGCGGGTCAGCGTGTCCTGGATGGCCGCGGTCAGGGCGTGGCCCAGGTGGAGGGTCCCAGTGGTCACTCTGGTCACCCCCTGAGCCCAGTGGTCACTCTGGTCACCCCCTGAGCCCAGTGGTCACTCTGGTCACCCCCTGAGCCCAGTGGTCACTCTGGTCACTCACCAGCGGGTCAGCGTGTCCTGGATGGCCGCGGTCAGGGCGTGGCCCAGGTGGAGGGTCCCAGTGGTCACTCTGGTCACCCCCTGAGCCCAGTGGTCACTCTGGTCACCCCCTGAGCCCAGTGGTCACTCTGGTCACTCACCAGCGGGTCAGCGTGTCCTGGATGGCCGCGGTCAGGGCGTGGCCCAGGTGGAGGGTCCCAGTGGTCACTCTGGTCACCCCCTGAGCCCAGTGGTCACTCTGGTCACCCCCTGAGCCCAGTGGTCACTCTGGTCACCCCCTGAGCCCAGTGGTCACTCTGGTCACTCACCAGCGGGTCAGCGTGTCCTGGATGGCCGCGGTCAGGGCGTGGCCCAGGTGGAGGGTCCCAGTGGTCACTCTGGTCACCCCCTGAGCCCAGTGGTCACTCTGGTCACCCCCTGAGCCCAGTGGTCACTCTGGTCACCCCCTGAGCCCAGTGGTCACTCTGGTCACTCACCAGCGGGTCAGCGTGTCCTGGATGGCCGCGGTCAGGGCGTGGCCCAGGTGGAGGGTCCCAGTGGTCACTCTGGTCACCCCCTGAGCCCAGTGGTCACTCTGGTCACTCACCAGCGGGTCAGCGTGTCCTGGATGGCCGCGGTCAGGGCGTGGCCCAGGTGGAGGGTCCCAGTGGTCACTCTGGTCACCCCCTGAGCCCAGTGGTCACTCTGGTCACTCACCAGCGGGTCAGCGTGTCCTGGATGGCCGCGGTCAGGGCGTGGCCCAGGTGGAGGGTCCCGGTCACGTTGGGGGGGGGGAGGCACATCACGAACACCCCGCGGGGGTTGGGGGTCTCCAGGGACCGCTGGGGGGGGACAAAGGGGTCAGTGACCCCTGAGACCCCCAAGGACCCCCCAAAGTAGCCCCCAGACCCCCCCAAACCCCCCTGAGACCCCCAAGGACCCCCCAAAAATCCCGAGGACCACCCAGACCCCCCCAAATATCCCCAAGGAGCCCTCAAAGACCTCCCAAAGACCCCCAAAGACCCCCAAGGACTCCTCAGACCCCCAGAGACCCCCAAAGACCCCCCCAAAGACCCCAAAAGACGCCCCAGAGACCCCCAAGGACCCCCATAGACCCCCAGGAACCTCCTCAGACCCCCCGCGACCCCCAAAGACCCCCAAAGACCCCCAGAGACCCCCAAAGACCACCCAAACCCCCCAAGGACCCCCCAAATATCCCCAAATATCCCCAAGAACCCCCCCAGAGACCCCCCAGAGACCCCTAAATATCCCCAAAGACCCCCAAGGACCCCCCAGGACCCCCCCAAATACCCCCAAGGACCCCCGAAAGATCCCCAAGGACCCCCCCCGAGACCCCCAAGGACCCCCCAAAACCCACCTAGAGACCCCCCAAAACCCACCCAAGAGATCCCCAAAGACCCCCCCAAAGACCCCCAGAGACCCACAGAGACCCCCCAGGACCCCCCAAGGACCCCCAAGGACCCCCAGAGACCCCCAAGGACCCCCCAAAGATCACCCAGAGACCCCCAAAGACCCCCAAAAGACCCCCAGAGACCCCCCAAGGAGCCCCCAGAGACCCCCCAAGGAGCCCCCAGAGACCCCCAAGGACTCCTCAGAGACCCCCAAAGACCCCCAGAGACCCCCAAAGACCCCCCCAAAGATCCCCAAAACCCACCCAGAGATCCCCCAAAGACCCCAAGAGACCCCCAGAGACCCCCAAAGACCCCCCCAAGGACCCCCCAAAACCCCCCCAGGACCCCCAAAGACCCCAAGGACCCCACCAAAGACCCCCAAGGACCTCCCAGAGACCCCCAAAAGACCCCCAGAGACCCCCAGGACCCCCCAAATCCCCCCAGAACTGCCCCAAATCCCCCCAGGACCCCCCAAAGAAGCCCCCAGACCCCCCAAAAAAGCCCCCAGACCCCCCAAAACCCCCCCAGGACTGCCCCAAACCCCCCAGATCTCCCCAAAACCCCTCCAGGACTGCCCCAAATCCCCCCAAATCCCACCCAAACACCTCCAGGACCCCCCAAATCCCCCCAGGACCTCCCAAAGAAGCCCCCAGACCCCCCAAAACCCCCCAAAACTGCCCCAAATCCCCCCAGGACCCCCCAAAGAAGCCCCCAGACCCCCCAAAGAAGCCCCCAGACCCCCCAAAGAAGCCCCCAGACCCCCCAGGACCCCCACTCACCCCGAATTCGGGCCGGAAGAACCCCTCCTTCTCCCACCAGCTGTACCAGCACCCCCAAAACCCCTCCAGGACCCCCCAAAACTGCCCCAAATCCCCCCAAATCCCCCCAGGACCCCCCAAAGAAGCCCCCAGACCCCCAAAGAAGCGCCCAGACCCCCCAAACCCCCCTAGGACCCCCCAAATCCCCCCCAAATCCCCCCCAGAACTGCCCCAAACCCCCCCCAGGACCCCCCAAATCCCCCCCAAATCCCCTCAAATCCCCCCAGGACCCCCCAAATCCCACCCAAATCCCCCCAAATCTCCACAGGACCCCCCAAAGAAGCCCCCAGACCCCCCAAAGAAGCCCCCAGACCCCCCAGGACCCCCACTCACCCCGAATTCGGGCCGGAAGAACCCCTCCTTCTCCCACCAGCTGTACCAGCACCCCCAAAACCCCCCCAGGACCCCCCAAAAACTGCCCCAAATCCCCCCAGAACTGCCCCAAATCCCCCCAGGACCCCCCAAAGAAGCCCCCAGACCCCCCAAAGAAGCCCCCAGACCCCCTAAAACCCCCCCAAATCCCCCCAGAACTGCCCCAAACCCCCCCAAAACCCCACCAGCACTGCCCCAAACCCCCCAGAACTGCCCCAAATCCCCCCAAATCCCCCCAAACCCCCCCAGGACCCCCCAAAGAAGCCCCCAGACCCCCCAAAACCCCCCCAGGACCCCCACTCACCCCGAATTCGGGCCGGAAGAACCCCTCCTTCTCCCACCAGCTGTACCAGCACCCCCAAAACCCCCCCAGGACCCCCCAAATCCCCCCCAAATCCCCCCAGAACTGCCCCAAATCCCCCCAGAACTGCCCCAAATCCCACCCAAATCCCCCCAAATCCCCCCAGGACCCCCCAATGAAGCCCCCAGACCCCCCAAAGAAGCCCCCAGACCCCCCAAAGAAGCCCCCAGACCCCCACTCACCCCGAATTCGGGCCGGAAGAACCCCTCCTTCTCCCACCAGCTGTACCAGGCCGCCTCCACGTACCCGGGGCTGTAACTCTCGGGGAGGGGTCCCCCCACATCTGGGGAGGGGTCCCGGGGGGTCACAGCCCCACCCCCCAAATTCCCAGAGACCCCCCACAGCAAAAGACCCCAAACCCACCCACTCAAAACACACACGGAGCCCACAAAACCCACCCAAGACCCCCCAAAACCCCCCCAAGAGTCCCCAAATGCCCCCCAAACCCACTCTGAGACCCCCCAAGACCCCCCAAAACCCCCCCAAGACTCCCAAAATCCCCCCAGACTCCCCCAAATCCACACTGAGCACCCCCAAACCCCCAAGACCCCCCAAAATCCCCCCAGACCCCACATAAACCCCCAAACCCCCCCAAGACCCTCCCAAAATCCCTCCAAGACCCCCCCAAAAACCCCCCAAACCCACTCTGAGCCCCCCCAAATGCTCCCAAGACCCCCCAAAACCCCCCCAAACCTTCCTGACACCCGTCAAAAGCCCCCCAAGACCCCCCAAGACCCCCAAAACTTCCCCCAAATGCCCCCAAACCCACTCTGAGCCCCCCAAAACCCACCCAGACTCCCCCAAATCCACACTGAGCACCCCCCAAATGCCCCCCAGACCCCCCAAAATCCCAAGACCCTTCAAACCCTCCCCAGACCCCCCCAAATCCACTCTGAGCCCCCCTAAACACTCCCAAGACCCCCCAAACCCACCCTGAGACCCCCAAAAACCCCCCAAACCCACTCTGAGCCCCCCCCAAATGCTCTCAAGACCCCCCAAGACCCCCCAAGACCCCCCAAACCCTCCCCAGACCCCCCAAAAACCCCCCAAAACCCCCAAAAACCCCCCAGACCCCCCAAAATCAACCCAAGACCCCCCAAAAATCCCCCCAGACCCCCCAAAAACCCCCCAAACCCACTCTGAGCCCCCCTCAAACCCTCCCAAGACCCCCCAAAACCCCCCCCGAACCCTCCCAAGACCCCCTCAAAATCCCCCCAAGACCCCCCAGGACACCCCCAAATTTCCCCCAGACCCCCAAAACCCCCCCCAGACCCCACATAAACCCCCCCAAGCCCCCTCAAAATCCCCCCAAAACCCCCCAAAACCCCCCCCAGACCCACTCCCAAGACCCCCAAGACCCCCCAAACCCTCCCCAGACCCCCCAAGACCCCCAAAACTCCCCCAAAAACCCCCCAAACCCACCCTGAGACCCCCAAAATCCCCCCAAACCCTCCTGACACCCCCCAAAACCCACAAAGAGCCGCCCAAACCCCCCCAAGACCCCCCAAGACCCCCAAAGCTCCCCCCAAAAACCCCCCAAACCCACTCTGAGCCCCCCCAAACCCTCCCAAAACCCCCCCAGACCCCCCAAAATCCCCCCAGACCCCCCAAGACACCCCCAAATCCCCCCAAACCCACTCCCAAGAGCCCCCAAACCCTCCCAAGACCCCCCAGGACCCCCCAAAATCCCCCCAGACCCCACATAAACCCCCCAAACCCTCCCAAAACTCTCCCAAGACCCCCAAAAATCCCCCAAAACCCCCCCCAAACCCCCCAAATTTCCCCCAGACCCCCCAAAATCCCCCCAAGAGTCCCCAAACCCACTCCCAAGACCCCCCAAAACTCCCCCAAGGCGCCCAACCCCCCCCCCCAGACCTCCCCAAATCCACTCTGAGCCCCCCAAACCCTCCCCAGCCCCCCCAAATTTCCCCCAGACCCCCCAAATTTCCCCAAAAACCCCCCAAACGCCCCCCAGACCCCCCTCACCCTTCTTGCAGCCGGGGGGGGTGGGGGTCTCGTAGCTCAGCCCCCTCAGCTCCCGCCGGGCCCGGCCGGCCTTGACCTTGCCCTGAGCCTGGGGGGGGCAAAAAAGGGGTTCAGGACCCCCCAAAAACCCCCCCGAGACCCCCCAAACCCCCCCAGGGACCCCCAAAACCCCACAGGACCCCCCAAACCCACCTGGGACACCCAAAACAGCCCCAGGACCCCCCAAAACCCCCCAGAGACCCCCAAACCCACCCAGGACCCCCAAAACCCCCCTGGGGACCCCCAAAACCCCCCTGGGACCCCCCAAAACCCCCCTGGGGACCCCCCAAAACTCCCCTGGGACCCCCCAAACCCCCCAGGACCCCCCAAACCCCCCAGGGACCCCCAAAACCCCCCAGGACCCCCCAAAACCCCCCAGGACCCCCCAAAACCCCCCCAGGACCCCCCAAACCCCTCTGGGGCCCCCCAAACCCCCCCAGGGACCCCCAAAACTCCCCTGGGGACCCCTCAAATCTCCCCCAGGACCCCCCAAACCCCCCAGGGACCCCCAAAACCCCCCAGGACCCCCAAAACCCCCCTGGGACCCCCCAAACCCCCCCTGGGAGCCCCCAAACCCCCCAGGACCCCCAAAACCCCCCAGGACCCCCAAACCCCCCTGGGACCCCCAAATCCCCCTGGGACCCCCCAAAACCCCCTGGGACCCCCAAAACCGCCCCCAGAGACCCCCAAAAACCCCCTGGGACCCCAAAACCCCCCCTGGGGACCCCCCAAAGACCCCCCAGAGACCCCCCAAAACCCCCCAGGACCCCCCAAAACCCCCCAGGACTCCCCAAAACTCCCCTGGGACCCCCAAAACTCCCCTGGGGACCCCTCAAATCTCCCCCAGGACCCCCCAAACCCCACCCAGGACCCCCAAACCCCCCCAGGACCCCCAAAACCCCCCGGGACCCCCAAACCCCCCAGGGACCCCCAAAACCCCCCCAGGGACCCCCCAAAACTCCCCCAGGGACCCCCCAAAACTCCCCCTGGGGACCCCCCAAACCCCCCGGGACCCCCAAAACTCCCCTGGGGACCCCTCAAATCTCCCCCAGGACCCCCAAAACCCCCCAGGACCCCCCAAAACCCCCCAGGGACCCCCAAACCCCCCAGGGACCCCCAAAACCCCCCCAGGACCCCCCAAACCCCCCCCAGGACCCCCCAAAACTCCCCTGGGGACCCCTCAAATCTCCCCCAGGACCCCCCAAACCCCCCCAGGGACCCCCCAAACCCCCCCAGGACCCCCCCAAACCCCCCCAGGACCCCCCAAAACCGCCCTGGGACCCCCAAAACCCCCCTGGGGACCCCCAAACCCCCCCTGGGGACCCCCCAAACCCCCCCAGGATCCCCCAAACCCCACCCAGGACCCCCCAAAACCCCCCCGGGACCCCCAAAACCCCCCCCAGGACCCCCAAACCCCCCCAGGACCCCCCAAACCCCCCCAGGACCCCCCAAAACCCCCCTGGGACCCCCAAACCCCCCCAGGGACCCCCCAAACCCCCCCAGGACCCCCCAAACCGCCCCCAGAGACCCCCAAACCCCCCCAGGACCCCTCAAATCTCCCCCAGACCCCCAAATCCCCCAGGGACCCCCCAAACCCCACCCAGGACCCCCAAACCCCCCCTGGGACCCCCCAAACCCCTCTGGGGACCCCCCAAAACGCCCCCAGGACCCCCCAAACCCCCCCAGGGACCCCCCAAACCCCCCTGGGAACCCCCCAAAACCCCCCCAGGACCCCCCAAAACTCCCCTGGGACCCCCAAATCCCATCCAGGACCCCCAAAATCCCCCTGGGACCCCCCAAATCCCATCCAGGACCCCCAAAATCCCCCCCGGACCCCCCAAACCCCCCCCAGGACCCCCCAAATCCCCCCCCGGACCTGCAGCTCGCGGTTTTTTTCCTGTTTTTGCTGGAATTTTTCCATTTTTTCCCGTTTTTTCGCCTCTTTTTTCAGTTGTGCCGCGCTCTTGGGGGGGGTGGGGGGCTCGGGACCCCCCGGGACCCCCAAATTGGGACCCCCCGGGACCCCCAAATTGGGACCCCCCTGGGAGTGACCCACTGAGGGGTGGAAAAAAAGGGGGGAGGGGTCAGAATGTGTGGAGACCCCCACCCAAATAACCCCCAGAGCACCCCAAAGACCCCCAAAGACCCCCAAAAAGTCCCCAAGACCCCCCCCCAAAAATCCCAAAGACCCCCAAAAAATCCCAAAATACCCCCAAAGACCCCCCAGACCCACCCAAGGACCCCCAAAGACCCCCAATGACCCCTATAGACCCCCAAACACCCCCCAAAGACCCCCAAAGACCCCCAAATACCCACCAGACCCCCTCAAAACCCCCAAGACCCCCCCCAAAAATCCCAAAGACCCCCAAAGAGTCCCCAAATAACCCCCCAGACCCCCCTAAAGACCCCCCAGATCCCCCCAAAGACCCCCAAGGACCCCAAGGACCCCCCAGAGTCCCCAAATCCCCCAAGACCCCCCCCAAAAATCCCAAAGACCCCCCAGATCCCCCCAAATACCCCCAAGGACCCCCCAAATATCCCCAAGACCCCCCAAAAAGTCCCCAAATACCCCCAAAGACCGCCAAGGAGCCCCCAGACCCCCAAGGACCCCCAAAGACCCCTCAAAGACCCCCCAAAAACCCCAAGGACCCCCCAGACCCCTCCAAAGACCCCCAAAGAATCCCCAAATACCCCCAAAGACCCCCAAGGAGTCCCCAAAGACCCCCAAAGACCCCCCAGACCCCCCCAAAAAGCCCCCAAGGACCCCCCAGACTCCCCCCAAAGACCCCCAAAGACCCCCCAGACTCCCCCCAAAGATCCCCAAAGACCCCCCAGACCCCCCTAAAAACCCCCAAAGACCCCCAAAGAGCCCCAAAGACCCCCCAGACCCCCCCAAGGACCCCCAAATACCCCCAAAGACCCCCAAAGACCCCCAAAGACCCCCAAAAATCCCAAAGACCCCCAAAGACCCCCAAAAAGTCCCCAAGGACCCCCAAAGACCCCCCAGACCCACCCAAAGACCCCCCAAGGACCCCCAAAGACCCCCAAGGACCCCTAAAGACCCCCAAAGACCCCCCAGACCCCCTCAAATACCCCCAAAGACCCCCAAAGACCCCCAAGGCCCTTCCAAAGACCCCCAAAGACCCCCCCAGACTCCCAAGGACCCCCCAGAGACCCCTAAAGACCCCCCAGACCCCTCTAAAGACCCCCAAGACCCCCCGAAAAATCCCAAAGACCCCCCCAAATACCCCCAAAGACCCCCAAAGAATCCCCAAATACCCCCAAAGACCCCCCAGACCCCTCCAAAAACCCCCCAGACCCACCCAAAGACCCCCAAGGACCCCCCAGATCCCCCCAAAGACCCCCAAGGACCTCCCAGATCCCCCAAAGACCCCCAAAGAGTCCCCAAAGACCCCCAGACACCTCCAAAGATCCCCAAAGACCCCCCAGATCCCCTCTAAAGACCCCCAAATACCCCCCAGACCCCCCTAAAGATCACCCAGACCCCCCCAAAAAGCCCCAAAGACCCCCCCAGACCCCCAAGGACCCCTAAAGACCCCAAATATCCCCCCAGACCCCCCCCAAAAATCCCAAAGACCCCCCAGATCCCCCAAATACCCCCAAGGACCCCGCAGAGACCCCAAATATCCCCCCCAGACCCCCCCAAAGACCCCCAAAACCCCCCAGACCCCTCCAAAGACCCCCAAAGAGTCCCCAAAAGACCCCCAAAGACCCCCCAGACTCCCCCAAATACCCCCAAAGACCCCCAAGGACTCCCCTAATGACCCCCAAAGACCCCCAAGGACCCCCCAGATCCCCCCAAAGACCCCCCAGACCCACCCAAAAACCCCCAAAGACCCCCCAAATACCCCCAAAGACCCCCCAAATACCCCCAAATACCCCCAAAGACCCCCCAGACACCTCCAAAGACCCCCCAAAGACCCCCAAGGACCCCCTGAAGACCCCAAGGAACCCCCAGACTCCCCCCAAATACCCCCCAAAGACCCCCAAAAAGTCCCCCAAGGACCCCCAAAGACCCCCAAAAGTCCCCAAAGACCCCCAAAAAGTCCCCAGAGACCCCCAAATATCCCCCAGACTCCCCCCCAAAGACCCCCAAGGACCCCCCAAATCCCCCTCCCCCGACCCCCCCCCACCTCACCTGCGCTCCCGTGGGTCTGGGGGCTTTGGGGGGTCTCGGGGGGGCTCTGGGGGGGGCTCTGGGGGTGCCCCTCCCCCCCGCAGAGCCGCACCTCCCCCAACACAGCCCGAAATTGGGGCAGGTGGGCGCAGGTCAGGAACCAGCGGGAGACCCCCGGGAAGGGGGCGCGGGCCGGGGGGTCCAGGAGCTGTTTGGGGGTCACAAGGGGGGATTTGGGGGTCACTGGGGGGATTTGGGGGGATTTGGGGGGATTTGGGGGGATTTGGGGGATTTGGGGGGGATTTGGGGGGATTTGGGGATATTTTGGGGGGATTTGGGGGGATTTGGGGGATTTGGGGGGATTTGGGGGGGATTTGGGGGGATTTGGGGATATTTTGGGGGGATTTGGGGGGATTTGGGGGGATTTGGGGGGATTTGGGGGGGATTTGGGGGGATTTGGGGGGATTTGGGGGGATTTGGGGGGGATTTGGGGGTCCCGGGGGGATTTGGGGGGATTTGGGGGGATTTGGGGGGATGTTGGGGGGGATTTGGGGGGGATTGGGGGGCACAGAGAAGATTTGGGGGTCCAGGAGCTGTTTGGGGGGGATTTGGGGGGATTTGGGGGTGATTTGGGGGGGATTTGGGGGTCCCAGGGCAGGAAATCAGGAGATTTGGGGGGGATTTGGGGGTCACAGGGGGGATTTGGGGGGATTTGGGGGGGATTTGGGGGTATTTGGGGGGATTTGGGGGGGATTTGGGGGGATTTGGGGGGGATTTGGGGGATTTTTCGGGGGATTTGGGGGGATTTGGGGATGAATTTGAGGTGATTTGTGGGGATTTGGGGGGATTTGGGGGGATTTTGGGAGGATTTGGGGGATTTGGGGGAGATTTGGGGGGATTTGGGGGATTTGGGGGGATTTGGGGGTCACTGGGGGGATTTGGGGGGATTTGGGGGGATTTGGGGGGGATTTGGGGGGATTTGGGGGGATTTGGGGGGTTTTGGGGGGATTTGGGGGGATTTTGGGGGTCACAGGGGGGATTTTGGGGGTCACGGGGGATTTGGGGGGATTTTGGGGACATTTTAGGGACAGTTTTGGGGACATTTTTGGGACATTTCAGGGACAGTTTTGGTGACAATTTTGGGGACATTTTGGGGGTCAGGGGGACATTTTGGGGGGGATTTGGGGGGGTCAGAGGTCACAGAGGTCACGGGGGGATTTTGGGGGTCTCAGGGGGGATTTAGGGACATTTTTGGGGACATTTTGGGGACAATTTGGGGACAATTTTGGGGACAATTTGGGGACATTTTGGGGGACATTTTGGGGACATTTTGGGGACAATTTTGGGGACAATTTGGGGACAGTTTTGGGGACATTTTGGGGGACATTTTGGGGACATTTTTGGGACATTTTGGGGGTCTCAGGTACATTTTGGGGACGTTCAGGGGACATTTTGGGGGACATTTTGGGGACATTTTGGGGACATTTTGGGGACATTTTTGGGGACATTTTGGGGACATTTTTGGGGACAATTTTGGGGACATTTTGGGGAGATTTTGGGGACAATTTGGGGACAAATTTGGAGACAATTTGGGGACGTTCGGGGGACATTTTTGGGGACATTCTGGGGACATTTTGGGAACCATTTTGGGGACAATTTGGGGACAAATTTGGGGACAATTTGGGGACAAATTTGGGGACATTTTGGGGACATTTTTGGGGACATTTTGGGGACATTTTTGGGGACATTTTGGGGACATTTTGGGGACAAATTTGGAGACATTTCAGGGACAGATTTGGGGACAATTTTGGGGACATTTTGGGGACATTTTGGGGACATTTTGGGGACATTTCAGGGACACTTTTGGGGACAATTTTGGGGACATTTTGGGGACATTTTGGGGACATTTTGGGGACATTTTGGGGACATTTTTGGGGGTCTCAGGGACATTTTTGGGGACATTTCAGGGACAGTTTTGGGGACATTTTGGGGACATTTTGGGGACATTTTGGGGACAATTTGGGGACAAATTTGGAGACAATTTGGGGACATTTTGGGGACATTTTGGGGACATTTTGGGGGTCTCAGGTACATTTTTGGGGTCTCAGGTACATTTTGGGTGTTCAGGGACATTTTGGGGTGTTTTGGGGACATTTTGGGGACATTTTGGGACATTTTGGGGTCCCACCTGCGTGAAGGGTCCCAGGAGGGCGCAGGTGACGGTGACATCGGCCGGGGGGTGACATTTTGGGGACATTTTGGGGGTCAGAGGTCACAGGAGGGCACAGGGACATTTTAGGGACATTTTGGGGACATTTTGGGGTGTTTTGGGGCCATTTTTGGGGTCCCACCTGCGTGAAGGGCCCCAGCAGGGCGCAGGTGACGGTGACATCGGCCGGGGGGTGACATTGGGGGGGTCAGGGGGACATTTCGGGGGGTCAAAGGTCACAGTGGGGATTTGGGGGTCTCAGGGACATTTTGGGGACATTTTTGGGGTCTCAAGAGACATTTTTGGGGACATTTTAGGGACATTTTGGGGACAATTTTCGGGAGATTTTGGGGACATTTTGGGGACAATTTTGGGGAGATTTTGGGGTGTTTTGGGGACATTTTGGGGTCCCACCTGCGTGAAGGGCCCCAGCAGGGCGCAGGTGACGGTGACATCGGCCGGGGGGTGACATTGGGGGGGTCAGAGGTCACAGGGGGGGATTTCGGGGGTCAGAGGTCACAGGGGGACATTGAGGGACATTTTGGGGTTTTAGGGACATTTTTGGGGTGTTTTGGGGACATTTTGGGGGTCCCACCTGCGTGAAGGGCCCCAGGAGGGCGCAGGTGACGGTGACATTGGGGGGGGGTCAGGGGGACATTTTGGGGGGGATTTGGGGGATCAGAGGTCACAGGGGGTCACAGGGGGGATTTGGGGACATTTTGGGGACATTTTGGGGACATTTTGGGGACATTTCAGGGACAGTTTTGGGGACAATTTTGGGGACATTTTGGGGGTCAGAGGTCACAGGAGGGCACAGGGACATTGAGGGACATTTTGGGGACATTTTGGGGACATTTTGGGGGTCTCAGGTACATTTTTGGGGTCTCAGGTACATTTTGGGGGTTCAGGGACATTTTGGGGTTTTAGGGACATTTTGGGACATTTTGGGGACATTTTTGGGGTCCCACCTGCGTGAAGGGCCCCAGGAGGGCGCAGGTGACGGTGACATTGGGGGGGTCAGGGGGACATTTTGGGGACATTTTGGGACATTTTGGGACATTTTGGGGTCCCACCTGCGTGAAGGGCCCCAGCAGGGCGCAGGTGACGGTGACATCGGCCAGGGGGTGACATTGGGGGGGGTCAGAGGTCACAGGGGGAAATTTTTGGGGTCAGAGGTCACAGGAGGGCACAGGGGGGATTTTGGGGGTCTCAGGGACATTTTGGGGGTCTCAGGTACATTTTGGGGGTTCAGGGACATTTTGGGGACATTTTGGGGACATTTTGGGCCATTTTGGGGTCCCACCTGCGTGAAGGGCCCCAGCAGGGCGCAGGTGACGGTGACATCGGCCAGGGTGACGCTGTCCCCCACCAGGAAGCGCCGCCCCCTCCCCAAATGGGCCTCCAGAGCCCCCAGACCCCTCCTCAGCTCCTGCAGCCCCCGGGGGCGCTCCTGGGGGGAGAAATGGGGGTCAGGGGCACCCCAAAATCCACATAAATCACCCCAAAATCCACCATAATCACCCCAAAATTCAGCCCCAAAATCCACCCCCAAAAACCCCAAAATCACCCCAAAATCCACACAAATCACCCCAAAATTACCCCAAAATAACCCCAAAATCACCCCGAAATTCAGCACAAAATCACCTCAAAATTCAGCCCAAAATCACCCCAAAATCACCCCAAAATCCACCCCAAAATTCAGCACAATTCTGACTGGGACACCCCAAAATCCACCCCAAATCACCCCAAAATCCACGCCAAAATTCAGCCAAAATCCACCCCAAAATCACCCCGAAATTCACCCCAAAATTCAGCCCAAAATCCACCCCAAAATTCAGCCCAAAATCCACCCAAATCACCCCAAAATTCACCCCAAAATTCAGCCCAAAATCCACACAAATTACCCCGAAATTCAGCCCAAAATCCACCCCAAAATCAGCCCAAAATTCAGCACAAAATTCAGCACAAAATCCACCCAAATCACCCCAAAATCTCCCCGAAATTCAGCCAAAATCACCCCGAAATTCACCCCAAAATTCACCCCAAAATTCAGCCCAAAATTCAGCCTGAAATTCAGCCCAAAATCACCCCAAAAAACCCCAAAATTCAGCCCAAAATTCAGCCCAAAATCCACCCAAAATCACCCCAAAATCCACACAAATCACCCCAAAATTCAGCCCAAAAAAACCCAAAATTCAGCCCAAAATTCAGCCCAAAATTCAGCCCAAAATCCACCCAAAAAACCCCAAAATCACCCCAAAATCCACCCCCAAAAACCCCAAAATTCAGCCCAAAATTCAGCCTGAAATTCAGCCCAAAATCCACCCAAATCACCCCAAAATCAGCCCAAAATCACCTCAAAATTCAGCTCAATATCCACCCAAAATCACCCCCAAAATCACCTCGAAATCCACCCAAAATCACCCCAAAATCCACCTCAAAATCACCCCAAAATTCAGCCCAAAATCCACCCAAAATCACCCCAAAATTCAGCCCAAAATCACCCCAAAATCACCCCAAAATTCAGTTGAATTCTGACTGGGACACCCCAAAATCCACCCAAATCACGCCAAAATCCACCCCAAAATCCACCCAAAATCCACCCAAAATCACCCCAAAATCCACCCAAAATCACCCCAAAATCCACCCAAAATCACCCCAAAATCCACCCAAAATCACCCCGAAATTCAGCCCGAAATTCAGCCCAAATTCCACCCAAAATCACCCCGAAATTCAGCCAAAATCACCCCAAATTTCAGCCAAATCAGCCCGAAATTCAGCCGAAATTCTGGCTGGGGCACCCCAAAATCCACCCCAAAATCCACCCAAATCACCCCAAAATCCAGCTTAATCACCCCGAAATTCAGCCAAAATCCACCCCAAAATCCACCCAAATCACCCCAAAATCCAGCTTAATCACCCCAAAATTCAGCCAAAATCACCCCGAAATTCAGCCAAAATCACCTCGAAATTCAGCACAAAATTCAGCCCAAAATCACCCCAAAAAACCCCAAAATCACCCCAAAATCCACCCAAAATCACCTCGAAATTCAGCCCAAAATTCACCCAAAATCACCCCAAAATCCATCCCAAAATCACCCCAAAATCCACTCCAAATCACCTCAAAATCACCCCAAAATTCAGCCCAAATTCTGGCTGGGACACCCCAAAATCTACACAAATCACCCCAAAATCCACCCAAAAATCCACCCAAATCCCCCCAAATGCCCCCCAAACCCCTCTGAGACCCCCCAAACCCCCCCAAATCCCCCCCAAATCCCCCCAAACCCCTCTGAGACCCCCCAAATCCCCCCCAAACCTCCATGTACACCCCCCAAATCCCCCCAAACCCCTCATAGCCCCCCAAATCCCCCCAAATCCCCCAAATCCCCTCTGAGACCCCCCAAATCCCCCCCAAACCCCTCTGAGACCCCCAAATCCCCCCCAAACCCCTCTGAGACCCCCCAAATCCCCCCCAAATCCCCATATAAACCCCCCAAATCCCCCCAAATCCCTCTGAGACCCCCCAAATCCCCCCCAAACCCCTCTGAGACCCCCCAAATCCCCCCCAAATCCCCCCCAAAATCCCCCCCAAACCCCTCTGAGACCCCCCAAGCCCCCCCCAAATCCCCCCCAAACCCCTCTGAGACCCCCCAAATCCCCCCCAAATCCCCCCAAATCCCCCCCAAATCCCCCCAAATCCCCATATAAACCCCCCAAACCCCTCTGAGACCCCCCAAATCCCCCCCAAATCCCCCCAAGCCCCTCTCAGACCCCTCTCAGCCCCCGAAATCCCCATATAAACCCCCCAAATCCCCCCCAAATCTCCATGTACACCCCATAAATCTCACCCAGACCCCCCAAATCCCCCCCAAATCCCCCCCAAACCCCTGCCCCATACCTGTGGGGGTCCCCCCATGGCCAGGGCGGCGGCGGCGCTCAGCTCCCCCTCCCCAAAGGTCACCCACCATCCCCCCAAACCCCTCTGAGACCCCCCAAATCCCCCCCAAATCCCCCCCAAACCCCTCTCAGACCCCCCAAATCCCCCCCAAATCCCCCCAAATCCCCCCCAAATCCCCCCCAAACCCCTCTCAGACCCCCGAAATCCCCCCCAAACCCCTCATAGCCCCCCAAATCCCCCCCAAATCCCCATATAAACCCCCCAAATCCCCTCATAGCCCCCCAAATCCCCCCCAAATCCCTCTCAGACCCCCCAAATCCCCCCCAAATCCCCATATAAACCCCGCAAATCCCCCCCAAATCCCCCCAAATCCCTCTGAGACCCCCCAAATCCCCCCAAATCCCCCCAAATCCCCCCCAAATCTCCATGTACACCCCCTAAATCTCACCCAAACCCCTCTGAGACCCCCCAAACCCCTCTGAGACCCCTGCCCCATACCTGTGGGGGTCCCCCCATGGCCAGGGCGGCGGCGGCGCTCAGCTCCCCCTCCCCAAACGTGACCCACCATCCCCCCAAACCCCTCTGAGACCCCCAAATCCCCCCCAAATCCCCCCAAATCCCCCCCAAATCCCCTCATAGCCCCCCAAATCCCCCCCAAATCCCCCCCAAACCCCTCTGAGACCCCCCAAATCCCCTCATAGCCCCCAAATCCCCCCAAACCCCTCTGAGACCCCCCAAATCCTCCCCAAATCCCCCCCAAATCCCCCTCAGACCCCTCCCCATACCTGTGGGGGTCCCCCCATGGCCAGGGCGGCGGCGGCGCTCAGCTCCCCCTCCCCAAACGTGACCCACTGCCGCACCAGCGCCGCCTCGGGGGGGTCCCGGCCCCTCATTTCGGGGGGGCTCAGCAGCAGCGCCGCCGCCCCCCCCCCAAAAAAAGCCCCCCCGGGGGTCCTCAGCAGCGGCGGCGCCCAAGGGACCCCCCCCAAATCCAGATCTGGGGGGATTTGTTCCAAATGGGGCGGGGGGCACCCCGAGAAACGGGCGGCGATGAGGACGCGGAGAGAGGAGGAGGAGGAGGAGGAGGAGGGAGGAAGGAGGAGAACGGGCGGCGTGGCCATGGTGCCTAAAGGGGAGAAATGAGAGAGAAATTAAGGTGAAATTGGGTGAAAATTGGGGTAAAAACGAGCAAAAATTGGGTGAAAAATGGGCAAAAATTGGGTGAAATTTGGGTGGAAAATGGGTGAAAATTGGGGGGAAATTGGGTAAAATTTGGGTAAAATTTGGGTGGAAAATGGGCGAAAAATGGGCAAGAAATGGCTGAAAATTGGGTGAAAAATGGGTGAAAATTGGGTGGAAATTGGGGGGAAATTGGGTAAAAATTGGGTGAAAATTAGGCGCAAATCGGGTAAAAATTGGGTGAAAAATGGGTGAAAATTGGGTGAAAATTGGGGGGGGAAAATGAGAGAAATTTGGGGTAAAAATGGGAGAAAATTGGGGGGAAAATGGGGTGAAAATGGGGGGAAAATAGGGGGGAAATGGGGGGAAAATTGGGGGGAAATTGGGGGAAAATTGGGGGGGGAAATGACAGAAATTTGGGGGAAAATGGGGAAAAATGGGGGGAAATTGGGTGAAAAATGGGCGAAAATTGGGTGAAAAATGGGTGAAAATTGATGAAAAAAAGGGTAAAAATTGGGGGAAAATTGGGTGAAAAATGGGTGAAAACTGGGGGGGAAAATGAGAGAAATTTGGGGTAAAAATGGGGAAAATTGGGGGGAAATTGGGGGGAAATTGGGGAAAAATGGGGGGAAATGGGGGGAAATTGGGAGGAAATTGGGGGGAAAATTGGGGAGGAAATTGGGGGGGGAAAAATGAGAGAAATTTGGGGGAAATGGGGAAAATTGGGTGGAAATTGGGGGGAAAATGGGGGGGAAATTGGGGGAAATTTGGGGGGGAAAATGAGAGAAATTTGGGGTAAAAATGGGGAAAATTGGGGGGAAATTGGGGGGAAAAAAAGGGGGGAAATGGGGGGAAATGGGGTAAAAATTGGGTGAAAAATGGGGGGGAAAAATGAGAGAAATTTGGGGGGAATTGGGGGGAAAAAAGGGGGGAATGCGGGGGAAATTGGGGGGAAATTGGGGGGGAAATCGGGGGAAAATTGGGGGGGAAAAATGAGAGAAATTTGGGGGGAATTGGGACAAAAATGGGTGAAAATTGGGTGAAAATTGGGTGGAAACTGGGGGGGGAAATGAGAGAAAATTGGGGGAAATTGGGGGGGAAATGGGGGGGGAAATGGGGTGGAAATTGGGTGGAAATAGGGGAAAAATTGGGGGGAAATTGGGGGGAAATGGGGGAAAATTGGGGGGAAATTGGGGGGAAATGGGGGAAAATTGGGGGGAAATTGGGTAAAAATTTGGTGAAAAATGGGTGAAAATTGGGGAAAAATTGGGTGAAATTTGGGGGAAATTGGGTGGAAATTGGGTGAAAAATGGGGGGAAATGGGGTGGAAATTGGGTGGAAATTGAGGGGAAATTGGGGGTAAATTGGGGGAAAATGGGGGGAAATGGGGGGGAAAATTGGATAAAAATGGGGAGAAAAATGGGAGAAATTTGGATTAAATTGGGGAGAAAAAAAGGAGAAATTTGAATAAAATTGGGGGGAAAAAGGGAGAAATTTGAATAAAATTGGGGATAAAAAAGGGAAAAAATTGGATAAAATGGGGAGAAAAAAGGGAAAAAATTGGATAAAATTGGGGAGAAAAAAGGGAGAAATTTGGATAAAAATGGGGAGAAAAAATGGGAGAAAATTGGATTAAATTGGGGGAAAAAAGGGAGAAATTTGGATAAAATTGGGGAGAAAAAAGGGAAAAAATTGGATAAAAATGGGAAGAAAAAAGGGAGAAATTTGGATAAAAATGGGGAGAAAAAAGGGAAAAAATTGGATTAAATTGGGATAAAAAAGGGAGAAATTTGGATAAAATTGGGGAGAAAAAAGGTAAAAAATTGGATTAAATTGGGGATAAAAAACGGAAAAAATTGATAAAAATGGGGAAAAATTGGGGGAAATTGCGGAGAAACGGGGAAAAAATTGGGAGAAAATTGTGAAAAAATAAGAAGAAAATGAGGAGAAAAGGGGGAAAAACGGGAAAAGAACCGGGGGGGGGTCCCGGGGGGGATTTGGGGGTCCCGGGGGGGATTTGGGGGTCCCGGGGGGGATTTGGGGGTCCCCGGGAGGAATTTGGGGGTCCCGGGGGGATTTGGGGGCCCCGGGGGGGAATTTGGGGGTCCCGGGGGGGATTTGGGGGTCCCGGGGGGAATTTGGGGGTCCCGGGGGGGATTTGGGGGTCCCGGGGGGGATTTGGGGGAATTAGGAGGAATTTGGGGGTCCCGGGGGGGATTTGGGGGTCCCGGGGGGGGGTTTTGGGGGTCCCGGGGGGGATTTGGGGGTCCCAGGGGGGGTTTGGGGGTCCCGGGGGGATTTGGGGGTCCCGGGGGGGGTTTGGGGGTCCCGGGGGGGGATTTGGGGGTCCCGGGGGGGGATTTGGGGGTCGCGGGTGGAATCCCGCGGATCGCTGAGGGCCGTTTCCGGGAGTTTTTGGTGCGGGGGTTTTTAGGGGGATTTTAGGGGATTTTTGGGGTAATTTGGGGGGATTTTGGGGGGATTTTGGGGGGATTTTGGGGGGCACGTGCGCCCCGCCCCCCCCCCCGTACCTGAAGTGGCGGCGGCGGCGGCGGAAGAGGCCACGTGGGGCGGAGCGCGCTGCGCATGCGCGGAGCGGCCACTTCCGGGTGCCACCGAGAGGAGCGGAAGGAGCGGAGCGGCAACTTCCGGGTGGCGCCGAGAGGCGCCGCGTGGCGGACGGGAGGAGCGAAGGGCCAAAAAGCGCCAAAAAAGCGCCAAAAAAGCGCCAAAAAAGCGCCAGAAAAGCGCCAAAATCACCCCAAAAAATCCCCAAAACCACCCCAAAAATCACCCAAAAAATCACCCAAAAATCCCCCAAAATCACCCCAGATAAATCACCAAAACAAAACCAAAAAAAATCCTCCAAAATCACCCCAAAAAATCCCCAAATCCACCCAAAACCACCCCAAAAATCCCCCAAAATCACCCCAAATAAATCACACCCCCAAAAACCAAAAAACACCCCAAAAACCACCCCAAAAACCCCCAAAATCACCCCAAAACCACCCCAAATAAATCACCCCCCAAAAACCAAAAAAACCCCCAAAACCCCTGAAAAAATCAGCATTAATCACCCCAAAAAGAGGCCAAAATCCCCCCAAAAATCCCCCAAAATCCCCCCAAATAAATCACCCCCCAAAAACCCCCAAAAGCACCCAAACAATCACCCCAAAAAAATCACCCCCCAAAAACCAAAAAAATCCCCCAAAATCACCCCAAAAAGGCCCAAAAATCCCCAAACCCACCCCAAAAATCACCCAAAACCACCCCAAAACCCCCCCAAAAATCCCCCAAAATCCCCCCAAATAAATCCCCACCCAAAACCCAAAAAAATCCCCCAAAATCACCCCAAAAAGGCCCAAAAATCACCCAAAAAAAGCCCCAAAAATCACCCAAAACCACCCCAAAATCACCCAAAAATCCCCCAAAATCCCCCCAAATAAATCACCCCCCAAAAACCAAAAAAATCCTCCAAAATCACCCCAAAAATAGGCCAAAATCCCCCAAAAATCCCCCAAAAATCCCCCAAATCCCCCCAAATAAATCACCACCCAAAACCCCCAAAAACCCCCCAAAAATCACCCAAAATCCCCCAAATAAATCACCCCCCAAAAACCAAAAAAAAACCCCTAAAACCACCCCAAAAACCCCCAAAACTCCCCAAAACCATCCCAAAAATCCCCCAAAATCACCCCAAATAAATCATCACCCAAAAATCAAAAAAATCTCCCAAAATCCCCCCAAAAATCCCCCAAAATCACCACAAAAACCCCCCAAAACCCCCCAAAAATCAGCATTAATCACCCCAAAAATAGGCCAAAATCACCCAAAAACCCCCAAAATCCCCCCAAAAATCCCCCAAATAAATCACCACCCAAAACCCCCAAAATCCCCCCCAAAATCACCCAAAATCACCCAAAAATCCCCCAAAATCCCCCAAATAAATCCCCACCCAAAAACCCCCAAAATCCCCCCAAAAATTCCCCCAAAATCCCCCAAAATCCCCCCAAAATCCCCCAAAATCCACTCACAGGCTCAAGTCAGGGTTGAACATTTATTGGGGTCTCAAACGGGGCCCCAAAATTTTGGGGTTCCCCCCCCCCGAATTTTGGGGATCCCACCCCAAAAATTTGGGGATTTCACCCCAAAAATTTGGGAATTTCACCCCAAAAATTTGGTGATTCCACCCCAAAAATTTGGGGATTTCACCCCAAAAATTTGGGGCTCCCCCGGAGCATTTTTGGGGTCCCCTTAGGGAATTTTGGGGTCCCTCAGGGAATTTTGGGGTCCCTCAATGAATTTTGGGGTCCCTGAGGGAATTTTGGGGTCCCATAAGGAATTTTGGGGTCCCTCAATGAATTTTGGGGTCCCTCAGGGGATTTTTGGGGTCCCCCCTAAATTTTTTGGGGGGTCACCCCAAATTTGGGAGTTTCCCCCCCCCGCAGGAATTTGGGTTCCCCCAAAAATTTTGGGGTCCCCCCAGAGAATTTTGGGGGGTCCCCGATTTTTGGGTTCCCCCAAAGATTTTGGGGTTCCCAAAGGAATTTTGGGGTCCCCCAAGGGAATTTTGGGGTCCCCCCTAAATTTTTTGGGGGGTCCCCGAATTTTTGGGGTGTCCCCCAAATTTTGGGGGGTCCCCAAAGATTTTGGGGGTTTCCCCGAAGATTTTGGGTTTTTCGCAGGGATTTTTTGGGGGAATCCCAAATATTTTGGGGTTCCCCGAATATTTTGGGGTCCCCCAAATTTTTGGGAGTCGATCCCCCCAAATTTTGGAGATCCCCCAAATTTTGGGGTCCCCCTGAATAAATTTTGGGGCGTTTTCATCAATTTGGGTCGGATTTCCCTGAAGATTTTGGGTTTTTCGCGGGGATTTTTTGGGGGATCCCCGAATTTTTTGGGGTTCCCCGAATATTTTGGGGTTCCCCGAATATTTTGGTGTCCCCCCAAATTTTGGAGATCCCCCAAAATTTTGGGGTCCCCCCTGAATAAATTTTAGGGCGTTTTCATCAATTTGGGTCGGATTTCCCTGAAGATTTTGGGATTTTCACAGGGATTTTTTGGGGATCCCCGAATATTTTGGGGTTCCTCGAATATTTTGGGGTTCCCTGGAGGATTTTGGGGTCCCCCCAAATATTTTGGGGTCCCCCCAAATTTTGGGGTCCCCCCTGAATAAATTTTAGTGTTTTTTCAGCAATTTGGGTCGGGTTTCCCTGAAGATTTTGGGTTTTTCGCGGGGATTTTTTGGGGAATCCTCGAATTTTTTGGGGTTCCCCGAATATTTTGGGGTCCCCCCAAATTTTGGGGTTCCCCCAAATTTTGGGGTCCCCCCCAAATAAATTTTAGGGTTTTTTCATCAATTTGGGTCGGGTTTTCATGAAGATTTTGGGTTTTTCGCCGGGATTTTTTGGGGGTTACCAAATATTTTGGGGTTCCCCGAATATTTTGGGGTCCCCCCAAATTTTTGACATCTCCCCAAATTTTGGAGATCCCCCCAAATTTTGGGGTCCCCCCAAATAAATTTTAGGGCGTTTTCATCAATTTGTGTTGGGTTTCCCTGAAGATTTTGGGTTTTTCGCAGGGATTTTTTGGGGGTTCCCAAATATTTTGGGGTTCCCTCGAATATTTTGGGGTCCCCCCAAATTTTTGGAAATCCCCCAAATTTTGGGGTCCCCCCTAATAAATTTTAGGGTTTTTTCATCAATTTGGGTCGGGTTTCCCTGAAGATTTTGGGTTTTTCACTGGGATTTTTTAGGGGATCCCCGAATTTTTTGGGGTTCCCCGAATATTTTGGGATTCCCTCGAGGATTTTGGGGTCCCCCAAATTTTGGAGATCCCCCAAATTTTGGGGTCCCCCTGAATAAATTTTTGGGGCGTTTTTAGTAATTTCTGTCGGGTTTCCCTGAAGATTTTGAGTTTTTCACGGGGATTTTTTGGGGTTCCCCGAATTTTTTGGGGTTCCCCGAATATTTTGGGGTTCCCCCAAATTTTGGGGGTCCCCCCAAATTTTTTGGGGTCACTGTTTTTGCTGCAGCGCCTCTTTTCTCGCCGCGTCCTGCAGGAGTTGCGTGTCCACCTCGTCCGCCGGCAGCTGCACGTAGCGAACCACCGATCCTCGGATGAAACAGTTCTTCACCGACAGCTGGGGGACCCCAAAATTCACCCTCAGACACCCCAAAATTCACCCAAAAATACCCCAAAAAATCCCCAAAAAATCGCCCAAAAAATTCCCAGAGAAATCGGCCAAAAACGCCCAAAATGGCCCCAAAAACGCCCCCAGAGCCGTTCTTCACCGACAGCTGGGGGACCCCAAAATTCACCATCAGACACCCCAAAAATACCCCAAAAATCCCCCAAAAAATCGCCCAAAAATTCCCAAAAAAATCACCCAAAAATCCCCGGAGAAATCGGCCAAAAACCACCAAAGATCCCCCCAAAAACGCCCAAAATGGCCCCAAAAACGCCCCCGGAGCCGTTCTTCACCGACAGCTGGGGGACCCCAAAAATCACCCTCAGACACCCCAAAAATCACCCAAAAATCCCACAAAAATCCCCCAAAAATCCCACAAAAAATCGCCCAAAAATTCCCAGAGAAATCGGCCAAAAACGGCCAAAATCGGCCCAAAAACGGCCCAAAAACGCCCCCAGAGCCGCGGATGAAACAGTTCTTCACCGACAGCGGTGGGGGCACCCCAAAATTCACCCTCAGACACCCCAAAATTCACCCCAAAAATCCCCAAAAAAATCGCCCAAAAAATCCCAAAAAAATCCCAAAAAATCGCCCAAAAATTCCCAGAGAAATCAGCCAAAAACCACCAAAAATGGCCAAAATCGCCCCAAAAACGCACCACCGAACCCCGGATGAAACAGTTCTTCACCGACAGCTGGGGGACCCCAAAATTCACCATCAGACACCCCAAAAATACCCCAAAAATCCCCCAAAAATCCCCCCAAAAACCCCCAAAAAATCCCACAAAAATTCCCCAAAAAATCGCCCAAAAAATTCCCGGATAAATCGGCCAAAAACCACCAAAATGGCCCCAAAAACGCCCCCGGAGTCGTTCTTCACCGACAGCTGTGGGACCCCAAAATTCACCCTCAGACACCCCAAAAATCCCCCAAAAATACCCCAAAAAATCCCCCAAAAAATCCTCCAAAAATCCCCAAAAAATTGCCCAAAATTCCCCCCAAAATTCCCAAAGAAATCAGCCAAAAACCACCGAAGATCCGCCCAAAAACGCCCCCAGAGCCGCGGATTGAGCCGAGCTGGGGGACCCCAAAACTCACCCTGAGACACCCCAAAATTCACCCAAAAATCCCCCCAAAAATACCCCAAAAATCCCCCAAAAATCCCCAGAGAAATCCCCCCAAAAACCTCCAAAAAAGGGACAAAGATCCCCCCAAATCCCCCCAAAATTCCCCAAATCCCCCCCAAAATCCCCCCAAAATCCCCCAAATCCCCCCCATAACTCCCCCAAAACTCCCCAAATCCCCCCAAAATCCCCCCAAATCCCCCCAAAATCCCCTCAAAATCCCCCAAATCCCCCCAAATCCCCCCCAAATCCCCCCAAAATCCCCCCAAATCCCCCCCAAAATCCCCCCCAAATCCCCCCAAAATCCCCCCAAATCCCCCCCAAATCCCCCCAAAATCCCCCCAAATCCCCCCAAAATCCCCCCAAAATCCCCCAAATCCCCCCAAATCCCCCCCAAATCCCCCCCAAAATTCCCCAAAATCCCCCAAAATCCCCCAAAATCCCCCCAAAATCCCCCCCAAATCCCCCCAAATCCCCCAAAACCCCCCAAAATCCCCAAAATTCCCCAAAATCCCCCCAAATCTCCCCAAAATCCCCCCAAATCCCCCTAAAATCCCCAAAATCCCCCAAATCCCCCCAAAATCCCCCAAATACCCCCAAAATCTCCCCAAATCCCCCAAATCCCCCCAAATCCCCCAAATCCCCCAAATCCCCCAAAATCTCCCCAAAATCCCCCCAAATCCCCCCAAATCCCCCCAAATCCCCCAAAATTCCCCCAAATCCCCCCAAATCCCCCCCAAAATCCCCCCAAATCCCCCAAAATCCCCCCAAATCCCCCCAAAATCCCCCAAAATTCACCAAAATTCCCCAAAATTCCCCAAAATCCCCACCATGTGCGGGTACTTCTCGGGGTCGGTGACGCTGATGTCGGTCAGTTTGATGTTCAGGTACTGGGGGGCAGAGACCCCAAAATTACCCCAAAATCCCCCAAAATTACCCCAAAATCCCCCAAAATTACCCCAAAATCCCCCAAAATTACCCCAAAATCCCCCAAATTACCCCCAAAATCCCCCAAAATTACCCCCAAAATCCCCCAAAATTACCCCCAAAATTACCCCCAAAATCCCCCAAAATTCACCTGAGATCCCCAAAATTACCCAAATCCCCCCAAAATTCAACCGGGACCACCCAAAAATTCACTCATGACCCCCAAAATTCACATTTGGGGGGATTTGGGGGGTTTGGGGCTCCCCAAAATTACCCCGGAGACGCCCCAAAATCCACCTGGGACCCCCAAAATCCACCCGGGACTCCCCAAAATTCACCTGGGACCCCCAAAATTCACCCCAGGGACCCCAAATGCCCCCTGGGACCCCCAAAATCCTCCCCAGGACCCCCCAAAATTCACCTGAGATCCCCAAAATCCACCCAGGAACCCCCCAAAATTCAGCCGGGAACCCCAAAATTCACCCGGGATCTCCAAAATTCACATTTGGGGGGATTTGGGGGGTTTGGGGCTCTCCAAAATTACCCCCGGGACCCCCCAAAATTCACCCGGGAACCCCAAAATCCACCTGGGAACCCCCAAAAATTCACCCGGGAACCCAAAATCCACCCGGGAACCCAAAATCCCACCCAAAATCCCCCCCAAAAATCCCCCCCCAAAAAATCCCACTAGGACCCCCAAAATCTCCCCCAAAAAAACCCCAAAAATCCCCCCGGGACCCCCAAAAACACCCCCAAAACCCCCCCTAAAAAACCCCCAAAAATTCCCCCCAAAAAACCCCCGAAAATCCCACTGGGACCCCCAGAATCTCCCCCAAAAAAAACCCAAAAAACCCCCCAAAATCCCCCCGGGACCCCCCAAATCCCCCCCAGGGACCCCCAAAAACACCCCTGGGACCCCCCAAATTCCACCAGGGACCCCCAAAAACCCACCTGGGACCCCCAAACCCCCCCTGGGACCCCCCAAAACCACTCTAGGACCCCAAAAATCCAAACCAGGGACCCCCAAAAATCCCCCAGGGACCCCCACTCACCTGATCCACCGAGTGCAGCGTCCCACAGATGCTGGGGGGAGACACGGGGGGAGTTTTGGGGGTCCTGGGGGGATTTTGGGGGTCCCAGGGGGGATTTGGGGGTCCCTGGGGGGGATTGGGGGTGTTTTTGGGGATCCCAGGGGGGTTTTGGGGGTCCCAGGGGGATTTTGGGGGTCCCAGGGGGGTTTTTGGGGGTCCCAGGTGGGTTTTTGGGGGTCCCAGGGGGATTTGGGGATCCCAGGTGGATTTTGGGGGTCCTTGGGGGGGTTTTGAGGGGTCCCAGAGGGATCTGGGGGGTCCCAGGGGGGATTTGGGGGGTCCCAGGTGGGGTTTGGGGGTCCCAGGGGGATTTTGGGGGTCCCAGGGGGGATTTTGGGGTCCCAGAGGAAATTTTGGGGGTCCCAGGGGGGAATTGGGGGTCCCAGGTGAATTTTTGGGGGTCCCAGGGGAGTTTTGGGGGTCCCAGGTGGGGTTTGGGGGGTCCCGGGTGAATTTTTTGGGGGGTCCCGGGGGGATTTGGGGGTCCCAAGGGGGGTTTTGGGGGGTCCCAGGGAGGATTTTGGGGGTCCCGGGGCGATTTTGGGGGGGATTTTTGAGGGGGTTTTTGGGGGGGATTTTGGGACTTCCAGGAGGAATTTTGGGGTTTTTTGGGGGTTTTTTTGGGGGTGTTTTAGGGGGTCCCGGGGGGATTTTTGGGGGGTTTTTTGGGGGGGATTTTGGGGGTGTTTTTGGTGGTCCCGGGAGGATTTTTGGGGTGTTTTTCGGGGGGTATTTTGGGAGTCCCGGGGCGATTTTTGGGGTTTTTTTCGGGGGGATTTTTGGGGGTCCCGGGGGGATATTTGGGGTTTTTTGGGGGTGTTTTTGGGGGTCCAGGGGGGATTTTTAAGGGGTTTTTTGGGGGGGGGGTTTTGGGGGTCCCGGTGGGATTTTTGGGGGGGATTTTGGGGGGATTTTTGGGGGGATTTTGGGGGTGTTTTTGGGGGTCCCAGGGGGATTTTTGGGGGGGATTTTTGAGGCGGTTTTTGGGGGGGATTTTGGGGGTCCCAGTGGGATTTTTGGGGGGTTTTTTGGGGTTTTTTTTGGGGGGGATTTTGTGGGTGTTTTAGGGGGTCCCGGGGGGATTTTTGGGGGGTTTTTGGGGGGGATTTTGGGGGGGATTTTGGGGGTGGTTTTGGGGGTCCGGGGGTGATTCTTGGGGTTTTTTTGGGGTGTTTTTTTGGGGGGATTTTGGCGGTCCCGGGGCGATTTTTGGGGGTTTTTTTGGGGGGGGATTTTGGGGGTGTTTTTGGGGGTCCCAGTGGGATTTTTGGGGGGTTTTTTGGGGGAGATTTTGGGGGTGTTTTTGGGGGTCCCGGGGCAATTTTTGGGGTTTTTTTGGGGGTGTTTTTGGGGGTCCCGGGGGGATTTTTGGGGGGGATTTTGGGGGGGATTTTGGGGCTTCCAGGAGGATTTTTGGGGGGATTTTTGGGGGGTTTTTTGGAGGGGATTTTGGGGGTGTTTTTGGGGGTCCGGGGGTTTTTTTGGGGGGATTTTGGGGGTCCCAGTGGGATTTTTGGGATGTTTTTTTGGGGGGATTTTAGGGGTCCAGGGGGGATTTTTAAGGGGTTTTTTTTGGGGGGATTTTGGGGGGGGATTTTGGGGGTCCCGGGGGGATTTTTGGGGGGTTTTTTGGGGGTTTTTTTGGGGGGGATTTTGGGGGATTTTTTGGGGAGATTTTGGGGGGGATTTTGGGGGTCCCAGGGGGGATTTGGGGGTCCCAGGGGGGATTTGGGGGGTCCCGGGGGGGATTTTGGGGGTCCCAGGGGGGATTTTTGGGGGGTTTTTTGGGGGGATTTTTGGGGGGTTTTTGGGGGGGATTTTGGGGGTTTTTTTGGGAGGATTTTGGGGGGGATTTTGGGGCTTCCAGGAGGATTTTTGGGGGGATTTGGGGGGGATTTTGGGGGTCCCGGGGCGATTTTTGGGGGGTTTTTTTGGGGGGATTTTGGGGGTCCCGGGGGGATTTTGGGGGGGATTTTGGGGGTGTTTTTGGGGGTCCCAGTGGGATTTTTGGGGAGTTTTTTGGGGGGAATTTGGGGGTGTTTTTGGGGGTCCCGGGGGTATTTTTGGGGTTTTTTTTGGGGGGGATTTTGGGGCTTCCAGGAGGATTTTTGGGGGGATTTTGGGGGGATTTTGGGTTTTTTTGGGGGGGATTTTAGGGGTCCCAGGGGGATTTTTGGGGTTTTTTTTGGGATGTTTTTTTGGGGGGATTTTGGGGCTTCCAGGAGGATTTTTGGGGGTTTTTTTTGGGGGGATTTTGGGGGTGTTTTTGGGGGTCCTGGGGGGATTTTGGGGTTTTTTTTGGGGTTTTTTTGGGGGGGATTTTGGGGGTCCAGGGGGGATTTTTGGAGGGTTTTTTGGGGGGATTTTGGGTTTTTTTGGGGGGGATTTTAGGGGTCCCAGGAGGATTTTTGGGGTTTTTTTGGGGGGTTTTTTGGGGGGGATTTTGGGGGTGTTTTTGGGGGTCCCAGGGCGATTTTTGGGGGTTTTTTTGGGGGGATTTTGGGGGTGTTTTTGGGGGTCCCGGGGCGATTTTTAGGGGGTTTTTTGGGGTTTTTTGGGGGGGGATTTTGGGGGTCCCAGTGGGATTTTTGGGGTGTTTTTTGGGGTGATTTTTGGGGTGTTTTTGGGGGTCCCAGGGGTATTTTTGAGGGCGATTTTGGGGGATTTTTGGGGGCGATTTTTGGGGGGGTTTTTTGGGGGTGTTTTTGGGGGTCCCGGGGCGATTTTTGGGGGGATTTTTTGGGGGGATTTTGGAGGTGTTTTTGTTGGTCCCAGGGCGATTTTTGGGGGGTTTTTGGGGGAATTTTGGGGGCTTTTTGGGGGGGATTTTGGGGGTCCCAGTGGGATTTTTGGGGGGTTTTTTGGGGGGGATTTTGGGATTTTTTTTGGGGTGTTTTTGGGGGTCCCGGGACAATTTTTGGGGGATTTTTTTGGGGTGTTTTTTTGGGAGGGATTTTGGGGGTCCTGGGGCAATTTTTGGTGGGTTTTTTGGGGGGGATTTTGGGGGTGTTTTTGGGGGTCCCGGGGCGATTTTGGGGGGGATTTTTGAGGCGGTTTTTGGGGGGGATTTTGGGGGTCCCGGGGGGATTTTTGGGGTTTTATTTGGAGGGATTTTGGGGGGATTTTTGGGGGTTTTTTTGGGGGGATTTTAGGGGTCCCAGTGGAATTTTTGGGGTGTTTTTTTGGGGGTGTTTTTGGGGGTCCCGGGGCGATTTTTGGGGTTTTTTTTGGGGGGGATTTTGGGGGTCCTAGTGGGATTTTTGGGGTGTTTTTTGGGAGGGATTTTGGGGTTTTTTTGGGGTTTTTTTGAGGGTTTTTTTGGGGGTGTTTTTGGTGGTCCCGGGGGTATTTTTGGGGGGTTTTTTGGGGGGATTTTGGGGGTCCCAGTGGGATTTTTGGGGGCGATTTTGGTGGGGATTTTTGAGGGGGTTTTTTGGGGGGGATTTTGGGGCTTCCAGGAGGAATTTTGGGGGGTTTTTGGGGGGATTTTGGGGGTCCCCCTGACCTGAGGTCGTTTTTCAGCTCCACCACCACGTCCTTCCCCACCAGGGACTTGAAGAAGGAGTAAAAAAGCTGCGGGGGGAGGGGCACGGGGGGGGTCAGGAGGGTTTTGGGGGGCTCCCAAACCCCCCCGGGGACCCCAAAAATTCCCTCGGACCCCCAAAACCCCGCCCGGACCCACAACCACCCCCAGATCCCCCCAAAACCCCCCCCAGACCACCCAAATCTCCCCCCGGGAGCCCCAAAATCCCCCCAAAATCCCCCCAAAATCCCCTCGGACCCCCCAAAATCCCCCAAAATTCCCCAAAATCCCCCCAAAATCCCCCAAACACCCCCGGACCCCCCAAATCCCCCCAAAAATCCCCCGAAATCCCCCCAAAATTCCCCCGGACCCCCAAAATCCCCCCAAACCCCCCAAATTCCCCCCAAACTCCACCTGAGCCCCTCAAATCCCTTCGAAATCCCTCCCGGACCCCCAAAATCCCCCCGAGACCCCCAAAATCCCCCCAGATTCCCTCCCGGACCCCCAAAATTCCCTCGGAGCCCCCAAATCCCCCCCAAACCCCACCTGAGCCCCTCAAATCCCTTCGAAATCCCTCCCGGACCCCCAAAATCCCTCCCGGACCCCCCAAAATCCATCCGAGACCCCCAAAATTCCCCCAAATCCCCGCAAAATCCCCCAAATCCCCCCCAAACCCCACCCGAGCCCCTCAAATCCCTTCGAAATCCTTCCCGGACCCCCCAAATCCCCCGAGACCCCCAAAATCCCCCCAAAATCCCTCCCGGACCCCCAAAATTCCCTCGGACCCCCCAAATCCCCCCAAAATCCCCCCGAGACCCCCAAATCCCCCAAAAATCCCCCAAACCCCCCCAAACCTGCCCAAATCCCCCCCAAACTCCACCCGAGCCCCTCAAATCCCTTCGAAATCCTTCCCGGACCCCCCAAATCCCCCCGGACTCCCCAAAATCCCCCAAAATCCCCCCAAAATTCCCCCGGACCCCCCAAAATCCCCCCAAAATCCCCCAAATCCCCCCAAACCTGCCCAAATCCCCCCAAACTGCCCAAATCCCCCCCAAACCCCTCAAATCCCTTCGAAATCTTTCCCGGACCCCCAAAATGCCCCCGGACCCCCCAAAATCCCCCAAATTCCCCCAAAATTCCCCAAAAATCCCCCCAAAATCCCCCCGGACCACCCAAAATCCCCCAAATCCCCCCCAAACCCCACCTGAGCCCCTCAAATCCCTTCGAAATCTCTCCCAGACCCCCTAAACCGCCCAAAATCCCCCCGAGACCCCCAAAATCCCCCAAAATCCCCCCGGACCCCCCAAAATTCCCCAAATCCCCCCAAATCTGCCCAAATCCCCCCCAAACCCCACCCGAGCCCCTCAAATCCCTTCGAAATCCCTCCCGGACCCCTTAAACCCCCCAAAATCCCTCCCGGACCCCCCAAATCCCCCCAAAATTCCCCAAAATCCCCCAAAATCCCCCCCCGCCCCCCCCCCCCACCATCGCTGCCGCCGGCGCGCGCCACGCAGGCCCCGCCCCCTTCCGCCGCCGGCCACGCCCCCTCCGCCGCCGAGGCCACGCCCCCCGCCCAATCACCGCCTCTCCCGCGCTTTAAGACACGCCCACCCGCCGTAACCACGCCCCCCTTCGCCGCCGAGGCCACGCCCACCGCGGGGGTGGCGGGAAATGAGTCAGGAGCGCGCCGGGGTCAAAGGTCACCGGTTTTGGGGGGGGGTGACCTCTGTGACCCCCCCTGTGACCCCTGTGACCCCAAAATGTCCCCAATGTCCCCCCAATGTCCCCAAAGTCCCCCCAATGTCCCCAATGTCCCCAATGCCCCCAATGTCCCCAATGTCCCCCCAATGTCCCCAATGTCCCCAATGTCCCCAATGTCCCCAATGTCCCCCCAATGTCCCCAATGTCCCCCCAATGTCCCCAAATGTCCCCAATGTCCCCAATGTCCCCAATGTCCCCAATGTCCCCAATGTCCCCCCAATGTCCCCAATGTCCCCGATGTCCCCAATGTCCCCCAATGTCCCCAATGTCCCCAATGTCCCCCAATGTCCCCAATGTCCCCCCAATGTCCCCAATGTCCCCCAATGTCCCCAATGTCCCCCCAATGTCCCCAATGTCCCAATATCCTCCCAATGTCCCCAATGACCCCAATGTCCCCCCAATGTCCCCAATGTCCCCAATGTCCCCAATGTCCCCCACGTGTCCCCTGTCCCCGTGTCCCCTCCCGTGCCACCTTCGCCCACGCGGGACCGGGAGAACCGGCCGGGCTGGCACTGAGTGTCACCAAGTGCCACCAAGTGCCACCAAGTGTCACCAAGTGTCACCAAGTGCCACCTGTCACCTCTGGCACCGCCCGTGTCACCTGCCTGGCACTTCCCGTGTCACCTCCCCTGTGTCACCTCCTGTGTCACTGACTTGTCACCGACCTGTCACCTGCCCCGTGTCACCTCCCCTGTGTCACCTCAGGGATTTAAGGGGTGGCCCCGGAGCCACCCTGACATCGACGGAGCTGCCGGTGAGTGGGGACAGTGGGGACATTGGGGACATTGGGGACATTGGGGACATTGGGGGCGTTGGGGGGATTGGGGACATTGGGGACATTGGGGACATTGGGGGATTGGGGACATTGGGGACATTGGGGGATTGGGGACATTGGGGACATTGGGGACATTGGGGACATTGGGAGGATTGGGGACATTGGGGACATTGGGGGGACATTGGGGACATTGGGGACATCGGGGACGTTGGGGGGATTGGGGACATTGGGGACATTGGGGACATTGGGGGGACATTGGGGACATTGGGGACATTGGGGACATCGGGGACGTTGGGGGGATTGGGGACATTGGGGACATTGGGGACATTGGGGGGACATTGGGGACATTGGGGACATTGGGGACATCGGGGACGTTGGGGGGATTGGGGACATTGGGGACATTGGGGGGACATTGAGGACATTGGGGACATTGGGGGCGTTGGGGACATTGGGGACATTGGGGACATTGGGGACATTGGGGACATTGGGGACATTGGGGACATTGGGGACAGTGGGGACAGTGGGGACATCGGGGACAGTGGGGACATTGGGGACAGGGACAGGGACAGGGACAGGGACAGGGACAGGGACAGGGACAGGGACAGGGATGGGGACAGCAAGGGGACATTGGGGACAGCGAGGGGACAGGGTAGGGACAGGGACAAGGACAGGCATGGGGACATTGAGGACAGGGATGGGGACATTGGGATGGGGACAGGGACAGGGAAACGGGGACAGGGACAGGGACAGGTTGGGGACAGTGGGAAGGAGGGGGTGGGTGGGGACAGGGTGGGGACATTGGGCATTGGGGACACGGTGGGGACAGGGATGGGGGCAGGATGTGGGGACAGGATGTGGGGACAGGGCTGGGACAGGAGGGATGTGGCACGGGGACAGGGACAGGGGGACAGGTCGGGGACACGGGGACAGAATGGGGACAGTGGGGACATTGGGGACATGGGGACAGGGACAGGGATGGAGACAGGGACAGGGACAGGGGGACATGGGGGATGTGGCATGGGGACAGGGACAGGGGGACAGGTCGGGGACATTGGGGACAGGATGGGGACATGGGGGATGGGGACAGGGGCAGAGGGACAGGGACAGGGACAGGGTGGGGACAGGATGTGGGGACAGGATGGGGACATTGGGGACAGGGACAGGGATTGGGACAGGATTGGGACAGGGACAGGGTGGGGACGGGATGGGGACATTGGGCATTGGGGACACGGTGGGGACAGGTTGGGGACAGGATGGGGACAAGATGGGGACATGGGGGATGTGGCACAGGGACAGGGACAGGGGCACAGGGACAGGGACAGGGAGACAGGTCGGGGACATTGGGGACAGGGATGGGGACAGGGACAGGGACAGGGACAGGGACATGGGGACAGGGACAGGGGCAGGACAAGGACACGGGGACAGGGACGGGGACAGGGATGGGGACATTGGGATGGGGACAGGGACACGGGGACAGGTTGGGGACATCGGGATGGGGACAGGGACAGGGATGGGGCAGGGACAGGGACAGGGGGACAGGTTGGGGACATTGGGGACAGGGATGGGGACATTGGGGACATTTGGGTCAGGGATGGGGACATGGGGACAGGGACAGGGACAGGTTGGGGACATAGGGAAGGTGGGGGTGGGTGGGGACACGGGGACAGGGACAGGGGGACAGGTCGGGGACATTGGGGACAGGGATGGGGACCGGGACAGGATGGGGACAGTGGGGACAGTGGGGACATTGGGATGGGGACAGGGACATGGAAATGGGGACAGGGTGGGGACAGGATGTGGGGACAGGCTGGGACAGGAGGGATGTGGCATGGGGACAGGGACAGGGACAGGGGTGGGGACATTGGGGACAGGGATGGGGACATCGGGGACAGGGACACGGGGTCAGGGACAGGAGGACAGGTCAGGGACATTTGGGTCAGGGATGGGGACATTGGGATGGGGACAGGGACAGGGGGACAGGGACAGGGACAGGGGGACAGGGACAGTGATGGGGACAGGGATGGGGACAGGGACAGGGACAGGGACAGGGACAGGGACAGGGACAGGGACAGGGACAGGACAGGGACAGGTTGGGGACATTGGGAAGGTGGCGGTGGGTGGGGACACGGGGACAGGGTGGGGACATTGGGGACAGGGACACGGGGACAGGGACAGGGACAGGGACAGAATGGGGACAGGGGGACAGGGACAGGGACAGGGACAGGGACAGGGACAGGTTGGGGACATTGGGAAGGAGGGGGTGGGTGGGGACACAGGGACAGGGTGGGGACATCGGGGACAGGGTGGGGACAGGATGTGGGGACAGGCTGGGACATGGGGACAGGGACAGGGACAGGGACAGGGACAGGGACAGGATGGGGACATTGGGGACAGCAATGGGGACACGGACAGGGTGGGGACATTGGGGACAGTGTGGGGACATTGGGAACAGGATGGGGACAGGGACAGGGACAGGGAAACGGGGACAGGGCAGGGACAGGGGGACAGGGACAGGGATGGAGACAGGGACAGGGATGGGGACATTGGGGACATGGTGGGGACAGGGACAGTGTGGGGACAGGTCTGGGACATGGGGACAGGGACAGGGATGGGACAGGGAAAGGGATGGGACAGGGACAGGGACAGGGACAGGGACAGGGACAGGGGGACAGGTCGGGGACATTGGGGACATGGATGGGGACATGGGGACATTGGGGACAGGGATGGGGACATGGGGACATTGGGGACAGGGATGGGGATAGGGTGGGGACATCAGGACGGGGACAGGGACAGGGAAACGGGGACAGGGATGGGGACATGGGGACAGCAATGGGGACAGGGACAGGGACAGGGGACAGGTCAGAGACATTGGGGACATCGGGGACAGGGAGAGGACATCGGGGACAGGGACATGGGGACATGGGGGATGTGGCATGGGGACAGGGACGGGGACAGGGATGGGGACATCGGGACGGGGACAGGGACAGGGATGGGGCAGGGACACGGGGACAGGGACAGGGGGACAGGGACAGGGATGGGACAGGGATGGGGACATTGGACATTGGGGACAGGATGGGGACATGGGGGATGTGGCATGGGGACAGGGACAGGGACAGGGACATGGGGACAGGGTGGGGACAGCAGGACAGGGTGGGGACATTGGGGACAGGGACAGGGACAATGTCCCAAATCCCCCCAATCCTCCCAATCCCCCCAATGTCCCCAATGTCCCCAATGTCCCCAATGTCCCCCCAATGTCCCCGATGTCCCCAATGTCCCCCCAATGTCCCCAATGTCCCCAATGTCCCCCCAATGTCCCCAATGTCCCCAATGTCCCCCCAATGTCCCCAATGTCCCCCCAATGTCCCCCCAATGTCCCCAATGTCCCCAATGTCCCCAATGTCCCCAATGTCCCCAATGTCCCCCCAATGTCCCCAATGTCCCCAATGTCCCCCCAATGTCCCCAAATGTCCCCAATGTCCCCAAATGTCCCCAATGTCCCCAATGTCCCCAATGTCCCCAATGTCCCCAATGTCCCCAAATGTCCCCAATGTCCCCAAATGTCCCCAATGTCCCCAATGTCCCCAGGGATGTGTGCGGGTCTCCAGTGTCTGTTCAACCTCCTCCGTTGGGGTTGGGGGGTCCTGAGGGGCCTCTGGGGGGGCCACAAAGGTGAGTCGGGGGATTTGGGGGGAATTTGGGGGATTTTGGGGGGATTTTGGGGGGATTTGGGGGGATTTGGGGGGATTTGGGGGGATTTGGGGGGGATTTGGGGGGGATTTGGGGGGGATTTGGGGGGATTTGGGGGAATTTGGGGGGATTTGGGGGGATTTGGGGGAAATTTGGGGGGATTTGGGGGGGATTTGGGGGGATTTGGGGGGGATTTGGGGGGAATTTTGGGGGAATTTTGGGGGGAATTTTGGGGGATTTGGGGGGAATTTTGGGGGGATTTGGGGGATTTTGGGGGATTTTGGGGGATTTTGGGGGATTTGGGGGGAT